CATGGAGTTTCTTGTTTTTCTTCTTCGTCGTCTTCAATTACTCTTCTTTTGCTTCTTCTAGACTGGCCTCTGGGCGGCGATCAGCCTGCCTCCCCTCGCCCAGAGTCGTACGGCCAGGGCGCTAGAATGACAAAGGCCACCTTGGGCTCAGGTCGGGGTCTCGGGTTTCCTGGCCGCTCCTCAGATCTCGGCCAGCGAGCCTCTTCGCGGCAACGGCTCGCCGTGGCCAGGCTCGCCGTGGCCAGGAAGGCCCCCTCCTTCTTCAGCGCTCCTCCTGGTAGCGCGATGGCCGTGTTGACCCGGGGGGGTCCCGGGGCGCCCGCGCGCACTACAGTTGTGCCGCTGCCGCCGTTGCTCGGGTCTTCTCGTGCGCAGGGCTGGCCCGGTCCGCCCCAGCCGCGCGTCCGATGGAGCCAAAGCGCTCCCAAGCTGCGATTGCGCAGTCTGTTGCTCTGCCTGGCTCTTTGAGTTCGTCGAAAGACTCCCAGTTCCGAGCCTCGGAGGCTATAGAACGCGGAAGAAATACGTAGCACCCTGCAGTCGCGGATAAGAGTGAGGGGGTGTGCGCGGGGTGGGTCGCGGGGGGGGTCGTGGGCGAGGACGACGACAACAACAAACAGTTAACAACATCATCAGCATCAGCAGCAACAACAGCAATCTGGGCCACGGAGTACCATTTCAGCCACGCATTCAGGGACAAAGAAAGACCGTTTGGATCCCTTCACTCTGACCTGCTTGCTTGCCCGGCTGTCCGCAGCAGATCCCGCGACGACATATTCGCAATCTTGCGCGGTACGACGCTGCCCCAGCGGCGGAGCGAGCGTCTAGATCTGGGCCGCTGCCCCCGCCGCCGGGGCCGCCCGCACGATCACACCCTGGCGAGGGGCTTCGCCACCAGGGGCTGTCACCAGGGATCACCAGGGCCTGCCAGGGGCTGCTAGCGGCTGCCGGGGTCTAGGCCTCCTAGTTGAGGTCGGAGTACATGGGGTCGGACCCCTATCAAGGAGGCCTCTACAGGGGCACCCAGCGCAAGCCCGTAACGCACAGGTCCAACATCAAACCACGGTCTTCTGACGAGCGGACAGTGTGCACCAGTAGTCGGATTTGCAGGGCGACGCTGCAGTTCATTCGATCCTCCGTGTTCGCAGTGGAGCATTCGGACTTTTCCTCCGCGACGACAGCGCAGGATCCACTGCGGACTCGCGCAGTTGGCGATGCCTGGCGCGAGTTCTGGCGCCAGGGTCTTAGGCCCTCACGAGACATGTCGGGGGCCCTTTCGGAGCCTCTGCGCGAGGGCTGCCCTGGACTGCCAGGGGCCGCCCCGACGACGGCTACCGGGCGCCGCCGGCCAAGGCCGCCCCCAAGTCTCGGCGCTGACGGGGCCGCCCGGCCGCCGCCGCGCCCACCCGGATGAGAGGCGCCGCAGGAGCGCGGCAGGACCGTCTCAGCGGACCTCTCCGTGGCACCCATGGCTGCGGGTGGCGGTGAGTGTGATCGGAGGAGGCGCCCAGTCGAGGCGACGGCGGGCCTCCCCTGGCGTTCTTCGCCCTCTGTGGGGGGCTCCGCGGCTGGGTCCGCGTCGAAGAGCGGGCCAGGAGTTCTCGAAAGCTAATTCGGAAGGTATTCCGCAGTTTTCGCGAACCCGTGTGGTTTCCACTCCGTGCGCCCCGCCGGAGGTGCCAGAATCATTCCGAACGGCCGCCAGAGGTCCAGATGATGGCCCGAACGCCGACGGGCCTTGGGAGGGGTCGCCGGCGCGCACGAGGGTGTGACGGGGAAGTGCCCAGATGCTTCGAAGAAGCCTCCGCAGAAGCCCACGGGCGCTTCTAAGCATGCTCCTGCCTTCTGAGGCAGCCCCCCTGCCCCGAGAAGGCATCCGCCGTCGCGCCACCCCCTCGTGCGGAGCCGCCGAAGGGGTCGGACGACCGAGGATGAGCGGATCTGGGCCGGGCGGGGGAGCCCCCGCTGTCTCAGCTGGCCCCCCTTTGCCGACAGCATGACGACGGTGCTCGGTGGTCGGTGTGTCGGCGGCTGGCGGCGGTCATCATGGCGCCGATGGCGCTCCAGATGTGACGACGGCGGCGATGGCGATGGTGAAGGCGACGGTGCTACATCGTGTCGGTGGTGGTGCTGCTGGTGATGATGATCAGGGGAGTGCGAGTTGAGACAACGGTAGTTGGCCTTCGGGGGGGCCCTCGTCGCCATTGCTCTACGCAGCTCGGAAAGAGGGTGCTTTTGGACCCAGGATTGGGTCCAGGGACCGATTTTGAGCTGCCGTTGTCTCAACTCGCCCTGCTCCGAGATGACGCCAGGGAGGAGCTTGAGGACGATGACGGGTGAGGCGACTGATGGTGAGGACGATGAGGATGATAATGGATGGAGGCGGTGAAGGAGAACGGTGAGGATAAAAAGGAGAGAGGGGGGAGAGGGAGGAGCTGGACGAGAGCGAGGGCGAGGACGGGAAAGAGACGGAGGGGGGTAAAATGCCGGTCGCTGCTGAAGGAGCTTGCCATGGACAAAAGAGAGATGGAGGTGAGGCTCCAACACCTCGAGGATGACGTCACTGAGAACATGCGGGACCTGGAGGTGGAGAGGGTCTCTGCGGAGAGGGCCCGGAACGCCGAGCAGGCGGCGGTGGCAAACCAGAAGGACCTCGAGGGCAAGCTTAGCGCCTTGCAGGCGCTCGAGGCGAGGGAGTACGAGGAGCTATCGCAGCTGAGGGACACGGTCCAGCAGAAAGCTGAGCTGGAGCTTCGGGTACAACAGCTCTCGGAGGCCGTCAAAGCGAAGCAGCAGGAACTCGAGGTTGGCTGCTGTTCTCTCCGTCCTCCCTCCTGCGTCTTTCCCCCCTCCTCCCTCCTCCTCCTCCTCCTCCTCCTCCTCCTCCTCCTTGTCCTCCTCCTTATTCTCCTCCTTTTGCCTCCCCTCCGCCTCCATCTCCACCTCACTCAAATAGGATGCTCTGCGCCGTTTGGCTTCAGCGCTGGCGCGTACAAGCAGTGTTGATGAGTGACAAGCCCGCAGTTCTACATCTGGCTGCCGTCATATTTTCTCGTTGGTAGTGGAGTTGTGAGCGATCCCAGCTCGCGATCCACGGACTGTGCGCACAGGCTGATGTGGACGCACATTCGCACTTCCTTTCGCCTCCGCATTGGTATCGAACTCCATTCCTGAACAGTCTGTGCTTATGGCTGTTCTGCAAACCTAGACTCTCGCAGGCAAGCGCCTTGGACGCCTCGCAGGCAAACGACATCTTTCGAATCCCTGTGAGGATCCGGCGGCGAGGGCAAAAATGGTTGCAACCTACACGATGTGGAACGCCAGCCCACGTGAATGCCGCGACGTCTCCAGTAACCCATCGCACCCTACGTGTATTGACCGCGGCTTCGCGTCGGGCATGAAAGCGAGGCTCCTGCCCTGGCAAGTACCGTGCCTCGCGATGTGTGCGACAGTGTTGGCCGTCCTCACGAGCCCGTTCCCACCATTCCCACCACCCTTGGCTTCGACTAAGGCTGTCAGCGCTATTACGGGTGCGCCCAGTTTCGACATGGCGTTCGTCCCTGCGCGGGCCCGAGCTCTAAGGCGCCCCCGCAGCTCTTGTCGCGGTGGAGTCTTATTGAGGCGGGACTCCATCTTGACGCCTTGGGGCAGCTTCCTCATGTTCTTCGCAGTCGCTCTTCTCTGGCTCGCCGGCATGGTGCCTGGTGGAGCCGGCCTGCAGGGCGACGGAGGTGGTTTTGGTGGGATCATTCCCCTCCAGCCACCCTCATAGGCACCCGAGCGCGAGTCATCGTTTCCATGTCGCCAATGTGCAGGACTTGCTCGCGTGTATCGTGCTCGCCACGGACGCGGACCTCGCGCAGCATTGCGCTGCCAAAATTCTCAACCTTGGCGGGGCCGCCCGCGAGCTCACGCAATCCATGTACTTCGGCCGTGACCTACCTCATCGCGAACCTCGCCATTCAGGCCCACTGGGCGAGGAGTCGCGCCTCCAGGCCACCCGCGAGCCCTTCGAATTCTTTGGGCGCCGCATCGAGACCGCCGATGCGCTTCTCTCGCAGTTCCATACGCTGCGATTCCGAGGCACGCGCAATGGCGCAGCTGCGATGTCTTGGGGGGGCTACAGCTGGCTGCTCCTCTCTTCGTTCGCCGCCGTCGTTCGGGGGCTTCGCGGTCATCGCCAATGGCGACAGTGACGACGCGCCCGCGACGGACCCCTGGCGCGCGCCAGGCTTCGACCAGTGGGATGCCAGCGCCGCCGAGCTTCCTGGCGCTGGAGGCGCCATGGCGTGCGCTGCCGGCCTATCGCAAAGCGCCGCGCCGCCGCAGGCTGCGCGCCCGGCCGCCGCGCGGGCGCCGACGGACGGGGCCGACTGCGTCAGCGGGGCCTCCACAGACATCGAGTCTGATTTTTTGCGAAGAGGCAGACGAGCGTCAGAGTTCCAAGGCCTCGGTTCTTCCCAGATAGAGATGTCAGTTGTTTTGGCAATTGAATTCGGCGCAGCGCCAACGTCGCCGACGCGCGCGTCGCCCGACGCGCAGGGTGCGCAGATTCACAGAAACGCAATTGCACACTCTCCAGAAAAAGGCGATGGGCAAATGCACCCAGGTCGACCAGGTATTCTGCGGCGGAGGAGGACAGAGCAAGGGCGAGCGATCTTCGGGCAAGGGAAAAGTCGGAAGCCGCAGCCCCAATGGGCGCGACGGCGCTACAAAGGCGCGCGGCACTTGCGGAAGCGAATCTAATTTCTTCGCGCAGTGTCCCCGGGGCAACCCATCGCCACCGCAGGGTATAGGCAGCGGCGGTCAGTAGGATGCGCGAACTCCCATGGGCGGCGCTCGAGACCGCGGCCCCGTGGCCGGCGTCTCAGAAGTCGCCTCTCATGCATGGCCACCGAGAGCCCTCCTCGGCCGCAGCCGGGGCCCAGCGGCGCGCCAGTGCAGACGGCCATCGGCGGCTCCTGGGAAGTGCCTGGGTCTGTCCACGGGTCGTGGTCAGACGCCTCGCTCGCAGCCGCTCGGGGCCGCGCGCGAGCGGGCGCGCGGGCCGCCCAACCGCCGCCTCGAGCGTTTCACGCTGCAACGCCGTCCTCGAGACCACAGCAAATTCTGGTCCTGCCTCCGTTCCCTGGCTCGGCTGTCGCCGCCGCGGAGCCGGCGGCGTCGACGGGCAGGGCGCGCTCGGGTTGGCGCGCCGCCTTGGGCTGCAGCTCCGCGAGGCTCTGCGCGATGAGCTTTATCGATCAACAGTGCAGCGCGAGAGCCTCCATCCTGCTTGCGGGTCAACGACCATCGAGTCGCGATGCTCTGCGTCGGCGGATTCGGCCAACTGGGGCGCTTCCGGCAACGTCGGCGCACGTTGCCTTGCTGTCAACCCGCGTATAGCAACTTCCCGAGGTTGCCCTCGCACCCTTCCTGGTCGGCCCGTCCGCAGCCGCTTTCGCTGGCCGCGGCCCGCCCGCCAAGCGACGCCGTGCCCTTCCAAGGCCCCTGCGTCCTTACCGCGCTTCAACGGCGCGCGGGCGTCGTGCCGGACAGGCCGCGCCGCCGCGGACGCAAGCGCTTCGCTGACTTGCCGACCGCGGCGGTTCGGACTGACGTCGCGCGGGCTTTGGCCCCCGAGATTGTGCTCCGTCTCACAGCCATGGCCAGCTTGGAGACCGAACGCGACGCTCAGATGGAGCAGCCGCATGCCCGCCGACGTCAGCGCGCCTGACAGACGACCGCAGCGCCGCCGCTGCTGCCATCGGATTCGCGGAAACTATAGGCATGGAAGAGCATGTGCATACCATGTATTGCATCTGTTTGGGCGAATGCGTCAATTTAACTTTTGCTGGCGTTCTTCAATGTGGCCGCCGCCCCCATCGGAGCTGCGCGGGCTCCCGGGCCGCCGCCGGCCTCGACAACGCCCAGATGTGAGCTGTGGAAGAAGCACTTCGCGGCGGCCAGGCATGGGCGCCCTCGTCGCAATGCCCGGCGCGCAGGCGACGCGCGGTAGTGCGCGACGTCGCGCGCGCGCGCGCCCAGGCCCGCGCCGCGCCCCTCGCGGCATCCGAAATTTTCGCCCGACGTCGACGGGGCGTTGGTCGCGCTTCGATGCGCGCCAATAGGCGAGATCACTTGCAGCGCGCCTGCATCCATTTGAGAACAGCGGTCTCCTCGAGGCCCGCCGCAAGGAGGTGGGGCCGACGCGTTTCCTTGGTTGCCCGCCGACGGTTCGGCCTGCGAGCGCGCCGCTCAGGCGCGTCGCGGCCGCGCCCGGCCCACCGCGCGCGAGCTCGTCGCCATCGCGGGCCCGGGCGCGTGAACCGAGCTCGCGGGGGGCCGCCGAGCAGCGGGGGCAGGGCACCGGCCGTAGCAGCTTCTCAAGAGCAAGCCCCCTGGCATCCAAGGAGTTGGCCACCGGGCTCAGGAGTGCACCCATCAGGCGAGCACATCCGCGGCCGTCGCTGATGGCTAGGGCCGCGCAACTGTCCGCGGCTTCGCAGTTTCTATCGCAGGAGGATCGGGCAGCAACCTGCCTTGTCTACCAAGACTGCGAAGTGCGGGGCCCACGCGCGCGCGATCCTGGACATAGCCCAGCACGAACTGATTCAGCTGGGGGGGCGCGCCGTCCAGAGCCAATGGCCAGCAGGCGCCGTCCACATCCCATTGCGCATGCCCACGAGCGGACACTGGGCGATGGGCATCCGCGACTTCGCCAAAGCAGCGCAAACGCTGAGCGACGCACCCGACCGCAGCGCGCATCTGCGCGCTCGCGCCGACGAAACGGAGACGGAGACAGAGGACCGGGCATTGGCAGTTGCCGCCTTCCCTGAGGAGGCCGAGCAGCGGCTGACCGTCGGCTGTCAATGAGCTGTGGCCCCCATCTAGGGGCGCCCTGCTTCCCTTTGCCGGGGGAAAACGCGGCGCCCCCACCGCTCTCGCGCGATGGTGCTTGCGCCTTCGCGCGCGTGAGCTCTCGACCAGCGCGGGTGGCAGATGCGTGCGCTGCGCCTCAGTGAGCGACGTGAGCAACAGTTGGTTTGTATCAGTGTGCCTCCGAAATACGTGCGCAGAGGCAGGGAGTTCCGTCGCGCCCGCGAGCAACCCATCAGTTACTACTTGCACGCAGGAGGCAGAACATGCCTGCGCTACATACGCGAAGCACACGGAATGCGCGATAGGAGTGGCCGCGAGCCCCGCCGCAGGCCTGATTGGTCACGATCAGGCTCTGCCAGCGGGTTCTCGCGCAGGGGCCCGCTGGGGCCTCACTTTTAGTCTCTGGCCATCACGGCGGCCCAAATCGTCGCGACGATCGGCCGAGGGGCCGACCGTTGGATGCGCGCGCGCGTCTTTCAGGCGCGGGGGACCGGGCCTCTTGGGGCTGGACCACTGAACGCCCGAGACCCATGAAGCAGCAGCCAGATAGGCCAACAGGATCTAGCAGTGGTTAGGCTACAGCTACACTCACTTCTGGTCACGCCCTTCTGGTTTGGCCCAGGCGACGTCTACTGCTCAGGCATGCCCAAGGATTGTAGGACACACGAGTAACCCTGATGTTTTTATTGGCGACGAGGCTTCGGCAGCTTCGCCAAGTGCCCTGCGCGCTGAACGCGGCACTGCCCATCGGCCCGACAAGCCCGACTCAGGCCGGATGCATCACAAGAGCAGCAAGATGCGAGAGGCAATGATTGAAACCCACTGGGGTACGCGATGCTATTTCCGGCATCTGTGAGTCAGACGAGATTCCAGACCAATGAGTAATGACGAAGACTGACACCAGTGACGATACGTTGGGATACCACGGGATGTCCACCATCAGCGAGAGCACCGCGACTCGTGTGCATGTGCGGTTCTGTGCGCTCCACTTGCGCCAGCTAACACTTCTTGTCTGGTAGCCCGTGACGCTTTGGAGCCAGGCAGTCCGGCCACCAGTGCGTCGAACTTGACGGACACCCACGGCGCATGAGGTCCTGCCATGCGAATGGACAGGCAAGACCGCGGTCCACATCATGAAGACGTCCTCGTCGCTGGCCTTTCCTACGAGGAGGCAGAACGGGCGAAGGAACGCAAGAGCAAAGATCTTGTGCCAGCCGAACATCAGAAGAAGGTGGACTACGTCTTCGACGACATCGGCGACGACCTCTCGGGTCTTAGTACGGAGGAACAACTTGCTAGGCCGTTCACGGACGCTGCCATCGGCCGCGCTAGTGAACCCCCAGCTGGTGAGCATCTGGTGGAGTCATGCGCAGCAGCTGGCATTGTTGGTTACCGTGCCGCGCTCTCAGTGTCCACTTTCCAAGCTGCAACCCTTCTGTGCGCTTGGGCCACGTCCCGAGCAATTGAACCCGTCGCGGCCCCGTGCGAGTTGCGCGGCGACTAAGTCTTCGCCTTGCTGATCGCCATCAGGCGACCCCTCGACAGCGGCGCAGACTTCGACGTGGTGACTGGCTGTGACCTTGGCGACCCTGAGATTCAGCTGTAGTTTCTGCAATATCTCAGGACTTACATCGTGCCAGTAATAGTCACGGCCCCGTCCTGCCGCAGTCCTGATCCGCCGAATGAGCGGTCTCTGCTATTGTATCAACTACGAGACTTCGCGGACTGCACGACGCAGATGCGCGATTGACGATGCTTCGGCGTTGGACAACAGAGCCCTACGTGGCTCAGCACAGTCCCGCCTTGGAATCTGATATCCACGCACCCCCAGGTGGACGCGGTCGCGTTCGATCGATGTTGTCTGGGAGCCGAAGGTCCCGGGGGCCTGCCAGCCCTGGATCCGTCTCTAGCCATCGCCAAGTAGCCCCATATGTTTGCTCTTTACGGGGGTCTGAGGTGCAGCTGAATCCGCGACTACGACGTAAGCTGGGGTTGCAGCCAACACGCCAATTCACTGCTGGTCTGGCCCTGGCGCTTGGCTGAGCGCGTGGTGAATGGCATCGCCGTGCTCAGGGCGCTGGTGGGGAGCTAAGACACTCTGGCCTAGCTCATATCCAGCCACAGATCACGAAGAAGTCGAACTAGAAGCCTTTCACGAACTTGAGCGCCTGGAAGGAGCTGCAGCACCGCCGCCCCCAGCACCGCCGACAGCAGCCGCGCCGGCACCGGCGGGGAAGTCTCGAGCCCAACCAACAGCGCCTGGGGCCCCGACGCCAGCGTCGGGCACGCAGACACCTGCCATTACGCCAGCAGCCAACGCATCGAAGGCAAGACTATACCCAGAGTGGCTCAGATGCCGTGGTAACTGCAGCAGCCTGGACTGGCGTCGCATCAAGGATCCAGGAAAGTGCGGAATTTCAGCAGGATCGCCGTACTCATGCCCAGGGCGCGCGCGCGACCTACCGCGAGATGGAGCTCGCCCTGACCACGCCAGACGGTTAGGAGAATGTTGTTGGGTCGACGAACCGCGCGGGGCTGTCTAGGGGCGCCGCGCCCGCCAACGCGGGTCCTTTCCCCGCGAGGCATGCGCGGCAGTCTCAAGATCCCGCGGCAGGAGTTCCTGGATCACAGGTAAGTCTTGAAACCGATTGGCCTCCTCCAGATCGAGGCCCCGCCGACTGCCCAGCAGCGCCAGCGCCTATGTGGAGACCTCGTCGACGGCGACGAACCGTTGCCGCCGTTTGACCCTGCGGCGCCCCGAGCCGCAAGGGCTCCTCGTCCGCGACCGCGAGCGGTGGGCGATGCGACGGGCCATGCGCCAGAGGATCAGGCGGGCTCCGACGTCGCTCGGAGCTCGCGCATGCTACGAGCCGTCGACGCATCGCAGATGCGACGCCAGACGCGCAGATATCAGGTTTGCTGAGGTCACGCTGGGCGGACTCAGAAGATCCCGCGCAAGCGGCCAGATGCCCATGCAACGTCGTAGAGGTGGCCGCCGGCGCGGTTGCTTCCTGCCGCGAATGCCAGGCCAGGGCATGCAGCGCGTCCCCGATCATTCCGTCGGTCGACCTTGTCACAGCCTCCGTTCGACACCCTCTAGTATTTCAAATCTCCGATCTGGCGCGTGATAGATCAAGCCGGCCGGTGGCGCGCAGCACGGCTGCCCGAGGGGGGTTCCAGCGATTCGAGGCATCGATCCTCCGAGCATTTATGCTCGGTTAACTGTCCTCTCACGTTGGATCTCGATCCTCGGACCGTCGTTGCTGATGGCGCGCCCGGCGTACTTCGAGCCGAAGCAGCGCAATTCTTCGACCGGCGCGGCATTGCGGCCCGAGCCTGAGCCCCTGCCGAGCACGTCCGAATGATAGAGACACAGCGTCATCCTACGACGAATCACGCCAGACGAGCTGTTACGCAGTGAAGGTTACGAGTCAGTATGCCCGACCTACTTTCCGAGGCTGCGTTTGCAGGAAGTTCATATCTTGCGGAAGAACCACCCCGCGCAACGCCAGCTCTGGCCGACAGCCGCGGATGCCACCTGACACTTTGGCACTCCTTGACGACGCGGCTGGTGCGGCGCGCATGTCACGTCGCATTCGAGGTGTCGCCTTGCAACGAATCGCGGAGGTTTCAGCGATCTCACGAATTAACTAATCGCGCCTTGAAAATAAACGCCACAGTCTCATGACGTACCCAAGATTACAGGCCAGAGGCCGGGCGAGTTTCGTCGAATTGCACCGAGCTCCATCCACCGAGGATGTGGGCGGGTGGACTGGACTGGCCGACGCCCTCAAGATGGGCGCGCAACATTGCGCGGTAACCCTCAAGCGCCGCGGCGCCGAGCAGCTTTGCCGCCTGGCGACGTGCGACGATTCGTGGACCTCGGTGGCCCTGCTACATTGTGTTGCGAGTCAACCTACGACGCCCAGCGGTCAGGCATGGGCGGTAGTCGATCAGAATCGCTGAGCTTAGCTGCGAAGACGCTTGAATGCGCTGGCCTTGTCGATGCCCGCGCGGCCACCGCAATCGCCGCTGCCCGACGCAAAGTGGCGCCCAGCCTCGAGTACTTAGCCAGGAACGCGTTCAACCTCATCAGTGCTGCGGCAATCCAAGCACGGCCCTGCCGAGGTACAAGTTCGAGGTCGGTTCGGGGAGGGCGTCTTAACGTTGATGTTGTCAGCGCTTGTTGGTTACCCTTGCGCGGGAGGCCGACTTCGACCTGGGGACAGGCTCCTGGGGGCCGCTCTTGCTGATGATCAGCCCCTCAGCAGCGTCCGCGGAGCGTGGGGGTCGGTGCCGCGGCCCGGCTAGCTTCCCATGCCGACCAGCTCCCCGGCCCCCAAAACCGGCGGCTCTCTGACCTCTCCTGACGAGCCCACGAGAGCCAGACCTTGAATATCTCGTTGGAAGAACCATTCTGATCGAGACGCGCCCGCTGCTGAAGGTCGGCCTAGAGTCGGTCGCCCAGCCGACATCGCAATGAGCCTCGTGAGCGACGGCAGCGCGCATCACGGGCCCCGTGACCTCGGCGCGCGCCGACCAGGCGCCGTCGCGCCGCCGTCGTCGCGGCGGTGCCCCTGGCGACGGCGTGGGCTGCGTAGTCTGCCGCGCTGCGCTGCGACGGCGGCATCGGAGTGCGCGCCCGTAGGCCGCGCCGCAGACGCAGCTCTGCACCTCCCCCCTTCCGCAGTTGCAGGCCGCGCGCCCCGTCGCGCAGTGCTCCGCGACCCCGGCGGCGGCAGCGGTGTCGGCGCAGGGACAGGGCGCCGGAGTGCGGCACCGACGAGGATGCGCCACCAGGTGGAGGCCCCCCATGCCGCCACCGCCATCGTTGTGGCCGCGCGCAGGCAGTCGGGCCCCCGTCGGCCCGCGCGGCCACGCGGCCCACTTGTCGAGCGGGGTCAAGGGCAGATGCAAGGGCAAGGACAAGAGCACTGACAAGGGCAATAACGACGACGACGCCGCCATGGCCAGGAAAAAGGCCCGACGCGGGGGCGAAAAGGGCAATCGTCGGCGCGTGGCCGCACCATCGCGCACAGCAGCCGACGCTGGCGAGGACGACAAGTCACCGGCGGGCGGTGCCGAATCTGGCGCGCACAGCGAGGAGGTGCAGGTGCGTGGTTGCGGCAGCTCCTGCCCTGACAGCTACTGTGGCCTGTGAGCTGAAGTCATCGTGCAAAAAGGACGCACGTCCCTCGTGGTCATCGGCCTTCCCTGACCTGCTCCATACCCACCTGGTCAAAGTTTCTTCACACCTCAACTTCGCCCCCGCACCATTTACTTCGCCTGGCTGCGAGGATAAGGTTCCTTACGTTATCTCTGCGGTTCAGGGGGCACCAAACATGCACGTATGCGGCCTGGTAGTCAGATTCCACGCCTCACACACCTCCACCCGTGTGAGTTCCACCGGTGTCGCTCCGAAGAGCACGAGCGAGCTCCCGACAGTTGGTGAGCCCACTTCCTGCCCCCTGTTGAGTTGTGAAAGCGCCTGGGGCTGGGACAGTTCTGGTTCCGTTTTCTCGGTTCCTGCGTCTCCCAAGAACAGTTGTACGATCGCCCACACAAGCCCGAAACAATGGGATGTTCTGTTGCCGCTTGCGCGTACATATAGTATGGGTACATGATACAAATTGTTGCCGCCATGCTTTCTCCCGTCACGTTTCCACACCCCGCAATTATACCTCCTTCCTCCTCCCTTTTCTCCTCTTCCTGCCCCTTCCCCTTTGTCCTCCTCCGTCCTCTTCCTCCCGCCCTCCCCCCTTCACCTTCCCGCGGTGGAGAAGACGAGCTTCGAGCAGCGAAGCTTGTTAATGGACGCCGAGGTGGCCAGCCTGAAGGAGAGGCTGGAGAAGAAGGATGAGGAGCCCCATCATGAGGAGGACGAGGATCACGAGCAGGACTGCGGTGGTGTTGACGATGATGACGAAAATGGTGACGACGATGACGATGACGACGGCGATAATTTCAATGTTGCTGCTGGTGATGACGACGATGATCGTGGATGCACGACGACGATCCTCCTGTAGACCTGGTGCCACGATCGAAACTCGAACTGCCCATCAAACAGCATGATATTCAGAAATCGAGGGCGAAGCGTGTACGTGCACCGGGTACGACGGTCCCGAGCAATCCTAGCAGCTTTGAAGTGGTAGGTCCACCTTTGTGTCCTTCATGTCCGGGCGCTGTTCTTCGCAGTCTCGCGTATGGGCTTCGTGCTCTTGACCAGCGCTTGTCTGGCCATGTCTCGACCGTAGTCATGCTTTGCGGGCTGGGCCCTTTTCCCGGCTGTTGCAGATTTGTGACCGCCTGCACCCGCGCCTGCCTCGCCCGGTCAAGCGGCCAGCCTGCGCGACCGAGCTGCGCCTCCCCCACTCTGCGGCGACTGCCTCGTCCGTCGCGGCGACCGCTCGCCCGTTGGCCTCGGGATCTGCGCTGCCTGGCTCGCGCAAAGTTTGGCCAACGCCTCGACTCAGAGCACGGGGTGCCCGCGGCGCACGTCCTGACCTTGCCTTCAGCCCTGGTCAGTGATCCTGAGGATGTGTACGTGTGTAAGTGTGTGTGTGTGTGCGTGTGTGTATGTGTGTGTGTGTGTGTGCGTGCAAGAGTGTGTGCATGTGTGTGTGTGAGTGTGTGTGTGTGTGTGTTTGTGCGTGCGTGCGTGCGTGCGTGCGTGCGTGCGCGCGTGTGTGTGTGTGTGTGTGTATGTGTGTGTGCGCATGCGTGCGTGCGTGCGTGCGCGTGCGCGTGCGCGTGCGCGTGCGTGTGCGTGTGCGTGTGCGTGTGCGTGTGCGTGCGTGTGTGTGTGTGTGTGTGTGTATGTGTGTGTGTGTGTGCGTGTGCGTGCGTGCGCGTGTGCGTGTGCGTGTGCGTGTGCGTGTGCGCGTGTGGGTGTGCGTGTGCGTGCGTGCGTTCGTGTGTGTGTGTGTGTATGTGGTGCGCTACCCGTTAAGATCCACCGACAACACGCAGCGCCTGTGTCCATGGCGCCGCCTGCGTCGCAATCACGGGCGTCATTGGACAAGCAACCGCTGGCGCTGACTCGCGTTCCGATGACCATCGGGTCAACGCGCCGTGTGGGCGAGCGCCCTGGGCAGGGGATCTTGTCAGACCCAGACATCCGATGTCTTGATTTCCTCGATGCGGGATCCCTGAAGGTCTGGACCTTCTCCGCGGGGCCCGCCCTTCATTCTGAGTCGTTTCTTGACTGTCCCAGAGGCTGGAGCCCACCGAGGGTCCCCAGAAGCCGAAATCCCGGAACGAATTTCTTCATCGAGTTTCTCGAGCCGTCGGCCGCCTGGGGACTGGTCCTATTGGCCGACTGGGCACCCCTCGAGGCGATCCTGGCCGGCATCCTGCGGCTGGCTCTCACTGCCACCTCGGCGCCCCGGCACCGCCGTTGAGCTGCGGAGCCTCGTCCTCGCCAACCGGCGCTGGCCAGTGTCCTCCTTTGGCCGCGGGCCTCGCCATGGGCGGCCAGCGCTGGCCGACGTGTCGTCTGCGCCCCCTTTCGCGAGGCCCGATCTCGCCTCCAGCAGAAAGAACACACGAAAAGCACAGCACAAAAACGAGAACACAGTAAAGAAGAACTGGACGTGGGGATGCGGTACAAAACAGCTCGCAAGACGTGGATACATATATATGTATATATATATATATATATATATATATATATATATATGCGGAGAAGGCGCGTGTGAAGTGTTTGCCCCATTGCCCGCCGATTGGCCGGCAGCAATGGGGCAAACATCCAACTACATGCATTGGCCCAGTGTGTGTGTAGCTATCCTTCTTCGATCTCCTGCCCTTTCCTGCCTGTGCGCGCTAGCTGCAGTTTTCTGCAGCGTTCCCCATGCGCGTTTCTTCCGGATAGTTTCCGATCGCGCGCCCTTCTGCTTGCGCGTCTTTCTGGATGCTTAGTTCCGCGGCGGCGGCGCGTCGGAGGTCGGAAGAACACGTGTGCGTCCTCACATGTGAAGCCATGTTTTTTTTTCAACTGCTACAGCACAGAGTACGATTTACAAGTGCAAGTCCTCCCTGAGGAGACGAAACGTTGAGAGGTCGCGAAGCGCAGCATCAACAGCAGCAGCAGCAGCAGCAGCAGCAGCTCTCTGCCGTGGCCGCCGCAGCGCCGCAACGCCCCGCGCTGCGCCGTTGAGCGGCTGCCGCCCGCGCTGCGCTGTTGAGCGGCTGCCGCCCACTCTCGGTTACACGACCTCGGCTGGCGGCGCCTCCGAGCACCTGCGCCGACGGGCACCGCCCGGCGGCGCCGCCTCCGCGGACGGGGCCGCCCGATGGCCTCCGCGCCGGCGGCGCCGCCCAGAGCGACCGCTTCGCCGATGGCCCTTCCGCGGGGGCCTTTCCATTCGCGGCCAGCGGCGGCATCGGCGTGGGGCCGGCGGGGGCGGGCAGCAGTTCCGCCGCTTCCGGCGCCTCGGGCCCCCCCAACCCGCCGCCGCCCTGCTCCGCGCCGCGGCCGTCGGCCCTCGCCCTGGGCCCTGCGGGGAGTGCCGTGCCCCAGCCGACCGTGGTGTCCCTCGAGGATCGTCTTCGGGCCGCCCTGGTCGTCCGTCCTCGCCCGTCGGGCCACCCCCTCGCCCTTCGGGCCTTGCGCCGTGGGCCCTGGCGCCGTGCTGGCCGGGCGCGAGAGCGCGAGGGCGGGCGTCTCGGGCTGGTGCCTCGCCACCAGGCTGCCTGCTGGGTCGCCGGGCTGCTGGTGCGCGTTGGTTGTCCGGCCCAGCGCGCACTGCCGCCGTCGCGTGGTGGGGAGGATGAGGGAGGTCAGGGCTAGAAAGGGCTGGGATGTCAGGGGCAACGACAGTTTCGGGTTCAAGGTTCGAGGCTTTCGGACGTCTCTGTGGGTTCTCGATGAGCTTCAAGCCTCGAGGTGCTCTCCAGCAGCTTCGCCCCGCCGACAACGTTCCTAGAGTGCCCGAAACGTCCCGAACGGCCTCTGGAGAGCGCCAAATCATGACCCGAATCCCAAGGGGTAACGTCAGTGCTCAGACGGGGATGCTTCGACCCCCAGTTGCCCAGTGATCGCCGATAGGGGCCCGATGGCCCACCCCGCCCAGGAACGTTCGAATTCGCTATCGGGGGCCTATCGTGGATCAGTCGGCAATGTATAGCCGATTTCAGGTCGATGTTTCCCTGACGTTCCTTTCATAGGGGCAGACAAATGGGTGGCTTGGGAGGAGCAGCGGCAGGTATGCATACGGGAGCGGGGGAACAGGAAGGAGTGGTGGCAGGAGCTGGGGGGGGAGGGGGCGTCGGACCAGGAGGAAGACCGGGGTGAACAGGAGGAGCAGGAGGAGGATCAGGATCAGCAGGAGGAGGAGGAGGAGGAGGAGGAGGAGGAGCGGGAGGAGGAGGAGGAGGACGACGACGAGGAGGAGGAGCTGGAGGAGGAGGAGGAGGAGGCCAAGGACGGGGAGGAGGTGGAGGATCAGGGGGGACGGGGCATCACAGGGTGGACGAGGGTGACACGGGGGCAGGCGGGTCGGCGGGCGGGGCCCAGAGGCCAACTACGGCACCGTCCAGGCGCTGCTGGAGCGGGCGGCTCGGCGGGCGACGGCTGGCTCCGACGGCGGCGGCGGCGCCGCCGTCGTCGTCGTCGTCGTCGTCGTCGTCGTCGTCGTCGTCGTCGTCGTTGCCGCTGTTGCTGCCCCCGCCGCTGGTACGACAGTAAGATCAGGAAAGATGAATGACCGAATGAGAAGAGGGAGAGTGCACCCTGCTGGCCCCCTCCCCTTGCCCACCCTGCCCCTTTTCCTGCTCGTGGCCGCCTGGGAATGGCTAGCACTCGTCCGCATGGTCTGTCCTAGGGCAATTAGCTCCTCCTGCTCCGAGCTTTGTGCCAAGGTCGTATATACATGTGTACACACACACACATATATATATATGTATATGTATACAAGTGGCACGTGTGTGCCCAGGCTCATACAAAAAAAACTGAAAGGGCGTTTGTGTCTCTGTGTGTGCATGTAATTCTGAGGCCCCAGGAGGCCCCAGGCGGCCTCCGGAGGCCCCAGGAGGCCCCAGGAGACCCCAGGAGGCTCCAGGAGGCCCCAAGAGGCTCCAGGAGGCCGCAGGAGGCCCCAGGAGGCCCAGGAGGTTCCAGGAGTTCCCCAGGAGGCTCCGAGGCGGGGTCTGGGGCACCAGAAGGTACAGAAAGCCCCAGGAGGCCCCAGGAGGTTCCAGGAGGCCCCCAGGAAGCTCCCAGGCGGGGTCTGGGGTACCAGAAGGTACGTCGGGGCTCGATTTTGGGAGGATGTCTCAGGCGAAACCGCCATTCTCTGGACAAGGTCTACAATGCTCCCCAAGTCAAGTATCCCACTTCGTGGGATTGTACATTGTCTATGATATGGAAGCTCTGACACCTCTGACTCTTTATGCTGCGACAAATAACGCTAAACAAATCATCTGGAAACATGCTATGGGAGCAAACTGTATCACGCATGATGTGAGGAAGTCGATCCTGCACACTATGATAACACACATGAGGCACATCGTACTTGTGCATTGTGCTAGCTCAAGCAGCAAATTTGGTATACTGCACTGGAGCGCAACGTGATACTCCACTACGTGAGCAGCATCGCAAAAGACCAGGGCGGATATTAAGCTCTCATTGCTGCTGCTACCGCGGCCGTCGCCGCCGTCGTCCTCGCCGCCGTCGTCGACGCTGCCCTCGCCGTCGTCCTCGTCGTCGACGACGACGACGTCGTAGTTGCAAATGGACGGTTGGCCCGCGGATTGGAACAGAGGAGCGTTGAGGGAGGGAGAGAGGCGTGGCGGGAGTGAGGATAGGGAGGAGGAGGAGGAGGGGGAGGAGGAGGAGGAGGAGGAGGAGTGATGGATAGATCGTGGAAAACAAGCTTGTTGAAAAAGACAGTTCGTCGGAGATTTGGGTCCCTCCATGCCCGATCCGATCCTTGGCCATCGATGGCTCAGGTCGATGTCCTGGAAGTTCAACGCCTCTGAGGGCCAAACGCTGGCCCTTCGAGTTGCCCTGGAGTCCTCGAGTCCTGGGCCCCTGGGGTGGCAGACGGCCAGGGCCGCTGCCCAGTGGCGCGCTCCTGCTCGCCCCTCGGCGCCTCCCACAGATTCTGCGGGCGGGCCCCCCCCGCCCGCGGGACCCCCACAAGAGTGGGAGGGAGGCAGGGAGGAACTGCGAGAACGGGGAGGAGGAGGAGGAGGAGGAGGAGGAGGAGGAGGAGGACCAGTGCAAACCCAAGACTCAGCAACGATGTTCCGACAACCCCTCCCTCCAAGTTCCCTCCTCATAGTAGGCCCCAGACGAGGGAACATGTTCACTGAGGAAAGTGCCCCGTTGGAAGACAACCGTTCGGAAATCCTGAACCGTGCCAGAACACCGTTCCTGGGATTTCGACGCCGCAAATCAACGTTATTGTTGTATCTAGACGATCCTGAGTCGTGCCTGAACAACGTTCCCTGTACTTCAACGCCGCGATTCAATGTAACTGTTGCCCTGGCAGTCTTACATCCAGCCAAAACATCATGTCTGGAACGTTCGCCATGATAATCCTTGCCATATATTGTTAAGACGAATCTGCGCGACGCGGGAGCGAGAACCACCTTTTGGAAGCCACCCACCCTTATATGTGAAGCTTTTGCTTATTATTGAGACGCATGTGCGCGGCGCCAAGGCGAGAGCCACATTCATGGTGAAAACCATGTGCCCGCCACCCGTGAAGCTCTTACAAGTTTCCGTGATGAATGCGTGCGGCGCTGAGGCGAGGGCGACTTTTTGGAAACGGCCAGCCTTCACTCCGTGCAACCCTTGCATGCTTTGGTGGAGCGAGTGTGCGCGACGCCTATGCGAAAGCCACATTTTGAAAGGAGTCGCCCTCCAGCCGTGAAACTCTTGCAATTGTTTAACACGAATGTGCGCGGCGCGAAGGCGAGATTCAGTTTTTGGAAGCGGCCCGCCTTCTATCCGTGAAACTCTTGCAACTGTTCAAGACGTGTGTGCGCGGCGCTACGGAGAGTGCCACATTTTCAAAATTGGTCGCCTTCAATCCGTGCAATTCTTGCGACTTGTTGACATGATTGCGTGCGGCGCTTAGGCGAGAGACGCATTTTGAAGGCGACCCACCCTCTTAAGTTTCAGGGCCGTAAGAGATGACAAAGTCTCAGGCGAAACGCCTGGCCCGCCTTACCGATCGGTCTCGGAGACGACAGGGAATGACATGAAATAAATGCCCAAAGTGGAGTACACGGCACTAAGAGAAGAGGGGAAGTTGGACATTCAGGAGTAGGTTAGAGACAAACCCACTCTAGAGGCCCATCTAACCCCGAGAGAGGGCAGCTGTGCCCTGCCCGATCAACCGAATTCGTTCGACAAGCGCAGGCATTCTCTGCTCATAGAGGGAGGCCGAGTCCGAGGCCGAATACCGAGTCCGAACAATGGACGGGGCACTGGAGGGCCTGAGGGTTTCGTCGGAAACAGCAAGCGAGGACAAAGGCACAGTTTTGTCGAGCAGCGCCTGAACGCGACGATTCGGGCACTTGCCCCGTCGGAGCCTCCCGAGGATGTGTAACCCCTTCCTCGCCGGCGGCTCGCACCTTCGGCCGAGCTTCAAGGCTCGTCCTTGGGACCTCCCTCCACATGTTAAACAAACGATGTGCTGCTCGCGGGACGCAGGTCGCGAGGAAACGAACTGACCAGAAGCCTCAGTTTCCCCAGCCAACGTCCCAGCCCAGGCGACGATGGTATGCCCCATGGGGTTCACGCGCAACTTTTGAAGCACTGTGGGCAGACCAGGGCATCCGTCCATCGGGAGCTGGTCTGGATCTCCCTCGGCGAGGGCGAGACAAAAACGACACTGTAAGCCGAGCTCGCCAGCCTGCCAGTCGTGCCGAGTCGCTTGGCCTACGCGTTCGTCCCGAGGCTGCTTTGTGGGCCCGAGTCCAACGAATCTCATATTGAAACTGAGGCAGGACCTCCGCGGCAACTTTCGAGAACCAAGAGGCCCGTTGGGCCGCCAGCCAACATCGAACACAACTCAGGGGTCGGGCTGGGTGTTGGTCGAGGGCGACCTTGGCCTGCCTATTCACCGCCGCGTTCGCGACCGCGAACACCCGATCATCCCCTTCTAACTCTGCAAGGACCCCTTCAGAGCGGTGTACTTTGACATGCTGCACCGACCGGATGAGTGGGGTTCCCTCAAGCTGGAGGGCAAAACTGCGAATACCTGCGAATGTATTGGAAACTGAAAGCTGATGCGCGACCTGCTGCTGACATATGCGCACAGCTGCTAAATAATCTGGAACAAGGACTGCCTATCTCGTCGCCACGTGGCCGCAGAGTGTGATGGCGAAGTGTTCCGCCATCGCTGGGGTCTGGGAGCTGACCTGGCACAACTCCACGCATGATTGCAGCAGGATCTTCGCCTTCGTCTGGGCACACAGCACTAGCCCATGACGCGCGGCGAAGTGGGCGCAGAAGTTGCTTACTGCACGACCCATCTGATGCAAGACGGAGGGGAGCAGCAGCAGTGAGAGCGGCAATCTGAGATGGCTGCATGTCGAGTGGTTCGCCATTGCCGTCGAGGACATCACACACCGGAGACACAGAGGGCATTGGCAACTCACCGTCGGGGTACGTGAAAACTCCACTCGTGAATATGGTCACGTCAGGATTGTCTCTGGCTACTTCCAGAAACTCGGGAGAAACCTCAGCATTCTGACGTGCCTCTACAAGTATCGCTAACTGGCAAGTGTAGAGCCTGTGATGGATTGTACCCAGCATGCTGCGCACGATCATTGGTCCACAATCCATTACATGCACAGCTCTTGATTACATATTCCTTGTACTTCGAAAACTTGCGGGCCCTGGGCCCTACTCGATCCTTTATCAGGTCGAGTGTGGCTCGCTCTGATACCTACGGGGAACCCGAGTTTCCTCGCAAGCCGAAGCTCTCTCTGTCTTAAAACTCCGAGCTCAAACATATCGGCGATCAAGGCCGGAGGGGTCGAGGCAACGTCAATGTGTATGTTGTTATGGTCGAACCATCTCAGAGGTCCCTCAGTCCGTCAACCAGCACGTCACGGCCGAGGCAAAGTAAGGCTCTGGCAAGGGGCCCTCTGGAGTGACGCCAATCTTGACACTCTGACGGCCTCGAAAGCTCCCAACGTCTCAGAAGTTCAGGCATACTGATGAGAGAGAGCTCTGGGCGAGTCGCAGCATTCCATCACATGCGAGACCACTGGATTGCGGGCGCCATCGCTAACTTAGTGCTACTGTCCCCGTTTAAAACAACTTTCGCGGAAACAGAGACTCCGCCATGGGATGGGAGTCACATTTAGCAACGAGCCTTTGGTGTCTGAGCCACTCCGAAGGACTGAGCCCCAAGACTTCAACCCCAAAGCTACTCGCAGGAGCTATCCCGAGCTTATGAACCTTCTTGAATGGGGTCTCCTTGGGGCCCTTGAAACGCCTCCTGAGAACTCTGGCTTTACGAATTCTCTTAGGGGGGCGACAGGGAGGATTGATCCACATGGAAGGGGTGGAGGAGGATTTGGGACTGCGCGTCTGATTCGATTCACGGACTTGTCAGGACGGACGGCGCTGCAGTAGACGCCACTGCAAGAGCATTCGCAAATTGACAGGCGCCAGCGCAAAGAGGAGGAGGAGGAGGAGGAGGAGGAGGAGGAGGAGGAGGAGGAGGAGGAGGAGGAGGGGTAGCGGGAGGAGATACCGGTGGCTCAGGTCGATGACCTGGAAGTTCAACGCCTCCGAGGAGCAGCGACCGAGGGAACAGCCCCCGCTCGCCCTGACAATGCTCAACAGGGCCAGGCTCGGGAACCGCCTCTTCCAGTGGGCCGCCCTGGTGTCCATCGCCAAGGACGAGCGGTCGCTCTGAAGGGGGTGAAGTCGTTTTCTTCGAAGGGGGAAGGGGAGGACATTTTCTGTGGTTCTTGGGCGTTTCCTCGCCTCGTTATGCTTGCCAGCAGCTTCCAGCTGCACCTCGTCGAGACCTTCACGAGGGTGCTCGGGTCGTCCGGAACTGCCGCCTGAGGCCCAAGGTACAACTCGAAAGTTCTCGAGGACGCCGGCGGCGCGTCACCGGCCGCTCCCTGGGAGTTTGCCGAAGTGGTTCGCAGCATCGAAAGTCGTGGCGCGGCGCGTATGCCAGCTGTCCAATGGCCGTCGGCCCATCCCGTGAGCGTGCTTGGGTTTTGGGTCGGAGTCATCATGAACGCTTCTTGGGGTCTCTCGAGAAGGCTCTCGGGGGCCTCTGCGGGGGAGTTTAGGGGCCTCCTAGGGGCCTCCTGGGGGCTTCTTGGGAGCCTCTCGGGGCCCTCTTGGGGGCTCTTGGGGGCCTCTTGGGGCCTCTTGGGAGCCTCCTGGGGGCCTCTGAGGTCCTCCTGGGGGCCTCTTGGGACCGAAAGCTCGAAATGTCCGTTCGGGTTCCCCGTCTGGGCTCCCTCTTGGGGCCGTCCTGGGGCCCTCTTGGGCCGTCCCGGGGCCCTCTTGGGCCGTCTTGGTGCCCTCCTGGGCCCCCTTGGGGGCCTCTTGGGCCGTCTTGGGGCGATCTTGGGGGCCTCTTGGGCGGTCCTGGAGCGTGGGTAAACCGAAATGGCGAGAACGCGAAAATCCTTGAAAAACCATTGGACAAATCAATGCTTTTTTGCATGTTGGGGCTCTCTTGGGGGTGCCCTTGGAGGCCTCTTGGGGCGTCTTGCAGGCGTCTTGGGCCGTCTGGAGGCCATCTTTGGCGTCTTGGAGCGATCTGGAATCGTCTGGAGGCTCTCTTGGACTGCTCGGAACTCTCTAGGACCGGCTTGGGGCGCTCTTGGGTTGTCCCCGTGGCGTTCCGGACCTTGAGCCGGGAGGGGGGGCGGCGGCAGAGTGGGGCCCCCTCGAAGGGACTTTCAGGGAGGTTTTTGACCAGGCACTGGCGAATAGGGCCAAAGACTGTGCCAAACACTCTGTCAGAGAGGTCTCGCACGGCCCAACCCGCAGGGCGGGAGTGGCTGGATCGAGGACGCCGGCGGCGCATCACCGGCCGCTCCCTGGGAGTTTGCCGAAGATCGCGCAGCATCGAAAGGCGTGACGTGGCGCGGCCCATCCCGCCACCGTGCTTGGGTTTTGGGTCGGAGTCCTCGTGGACGCTTCTTGGGGTCACGAGAGGGCTCTCGGGGCCTCTGCGGGGGAGTTTAGGGCCTCTTGAGGGCCTCCTGGGGGCTTCTTGTGATCCTCTTGGGGGCCTCTTGGGGCCGTTGGGGGCTCTCTTGGAGCCTCTTGGGGGCCTCCTGGGGGCCTCTAAGAGCCCGCTGGGGGCCTCTTGGGACCGAAAGCTCAAAATGTTCATTCGGGTTCCCCTTCTGAGCGCCCTCTTGGGGCCGTCCTGGGGCCTCTCTTGGGCCGTTCTGGGTGCCTCTTGGGCCGTCTTGGGGCCCTCTTGCGCCGTCTTGGAGCCCTCTTGGGGGCTTGTTGGGCCGTCCTGGGGCGATCTTGGGGGCCTCTTGGGCCGTCTTGGAGCGTGGGTAAGCCGAAATGGCGAGAACGCGAAAATCCTTCAAAAACCATTGGACAAATCAATAATTTTTGCATGTTGGGGCTCTCTTGGGGGTGCTCTTGGAGGCCGTCTTGGAGGCGTCTTGGGCCGTCTGGAGGCCATCTTTGGCGTCTTGGAGCGATCTGGAGCCGTCTGGAGGCTCTCTTGGACTGCTCGGGACTCTCTAGGACCGGCTTGGGGCGCCCTTGGGTCGTCCCCGGGCCGTTTGAGACCTTGAAGGGGGGGGGGGGGCGGCGGGGGGCCGGCGGGAGGTTTTTGACCAGGCACTGGAGAAGGGGGCCAAAGACTGTGCCAAACACTCTGTCAGAGAGGTCTCGCACGGCCCACACCGCAGGGCGGGAGCGGCCGGATCTAAAGGCTGCCGCCTCTGCCGCCGACCCCAATTGAGCGACGAATGTTTGATACGTTTGTTGTCGGGGTGCGTTTCCGAGCACAGCTGGAAGGGTTCAGGTGAGACTCCTGATTCTCTGTTGCACCGCGGACTCCTCACTATCGAATGGCCCTCGGCCCATCCCGCCGCTGTGTCTGGATTGTGGGTATGCAACCTATTCGATGGTCGTTTGGATTCCTTGGGGACCCTTAGGGGGCCTCTTGAATGCAGTTTGAGGCCTCTTGGGGGCAGTTTTGGAGCCTCGTGGGGTCGCTGTTGGGTCTCTTGGGGGCTTCTTGGAGCCTTTTGGGGCCTCTTGGGGCGGAACGCTACGATCTTTGGTTCGTGTTCCTCCTCTTGGGCCACTTTTTGAGTCGTCATGCGGCCCTCTTGGGCCGTCTTGGGCGTCTCCTTGAGCGTCTTGGGGCGCTCGAGGGCCGTCTTGGGGTTCTCTGGGCGGCCTCTTGGGCAGTGCTGGGGTGGTATTCGGGATCTCGGGAACACCAGAATCTTTCAAACAACGAATCAAATCAATGTGTTGTGCCTTTTCAGGTCTTTTGGGGAGGCATATTCGAAGCCTCTTGGGACATCTTGGGGGCCTCTTGGGCCATCTTGAGGCCACGTAGGGCGTCTTGGGGCGATCTTTGGGAGGTCGGGGCGTTTGGGGCCGTCTTGGGCGCTTTTTGGGCCCTGCTGGCTTGTTTTGGGGTTCCCATCGCTCCGAAACAGTCGCGCGAGAGACCGCGAGAAGCCCCAGGATAAAATTTCGCGATGTAGGGTTTGGGATTCTGAGCGACTCCTCAGGAGCAAGGGCTGAGGTTGAGAGGATGATTGTACGAACCTGAGGGCACGCCCACTCCGTGCCCAGAAGCACGGTGGCGGATCTACAGAACCATGTGAATTTGATGATCATGGTTCTGACGGATCGCATCGCATTTCCGAGCTCCAATGGGGAATCCGTCTGGGAGTATTTTAAATGTTTGTTGTTGGAATCGTGGGGGGTGGCAGTGACTCGAGTTAGCGGTTGGTAGATTGGGCGAGGTGGCACAAATTATCCAGGAGCAGCGATGACCCCATCCCCGAAGGGGAAAAATTGGGGTTGGACAAGGAATCGCGATGGACCATCTCTTGCCCAGAAGGCGGATATGAGCTAGGAGACCCCATGGCAGCTGCACAAGCAGAGAGCGAACCGCTCGGCCCAACTGCAGACGTTGCACCCCCACCCATCGTTAGCGACCCGTGCGACGCTCGTTATAGGAAGAGACATCATGATACCCCACGACATTGACATGTTTCGAGATAAACGTCACCTGATCATGATGGACATGCAGACGATCACTGATATGGTAGTTCATCGGGTGCGCTTTGGTACCCTTCGTGGCCCAGAATTTTGTCTCTTGGTTGCCCCAGACAATGTGGTTCATAGCCACGTCTCTCCGCCGGGCCCTTCGACATGCGCGAGGGCATCCAGCAGACTTTGGCCGCATTCACTCAAATGTCATCGACCCTCCTCCACATCGACCTCCATAAATATGTGTAGAATCTGTCAGCAGGAGTCGTATCCCCCCCCACACCATCTTCCTCATCCCTGCCCTCTTCCTTCTCCTCGTCCTTGTGCTTCTCCTCTTCCCTCCGCCTCCTGCCCCTGCCGCTCCTGGTCCTCGTGCTCCTCCACCCTCCGCCCACCCCCTCGACCAGGAGGCTGGCGCCAAGGTCGCCGCGCCCTGGAACCCCAAGTACCACGCGGAGTCGACGCCGCAGCTTGCGAAGATGGGCTCGCTGATGTGGAAGGAGCAGGACGCAGGGACGACGGATACGAGATGATGGAGAGGAGGGAGGGGAGGCGGGTGAGTCTGATGGAGATGGAGTGGAGGATTGGAGGATGGTGAGGGTAGCGGGGCAGGACGGGGAGAGGAGAAGGAGAGGAGAAGGAGAGGAGATGGAGAGGAGAGGGAGAGGAGAGGAGGCAGGTTTTTTTGGGGGGGCTGGAGCATCACCGTAAGCCATGCATGGGGCGCAGATGCTGAACGGTTGCACGGGCGAGCATAGCACGCTTGATCCTGCAGGCCCTCGGCCTGTGCCTCGTAAGGGAAAGACTCTGTGGGGCCACCCTTACATCACGGCTCCCTTGCGCGGGGGTGAGGAAGAGCAGGGGGATTTGAAGTAATATGGCTTAGGGGCGCCTTAACCCCGTCAGTGGGCCCAGTTGCCTGGAGTTACCACCCTTTTGGGGCGGATACCGCCACTTGCAGTGCAGAATCGCTGCACATATTCCATTGCATTGAAGGTGGGCAGGATTTGTCCATCCCTCTGCCGCCCTGTGCAATGAGAACTCTTGTCCTGTTACACCGCCGGGTGGCTCGCCACCCTACAGGTGCTGGGAGTGCCCTGCGCCACAGACGGACGGATCGTCACCGTTGGGCGACCCTGGAGACCTTCTCCGCTTCAGGACGTCTCCCCGCCCTTCAGTGCCTTGGTCGGGCTGTAGAACGCCAAGGTGTTGTCGCCCGCGTGCCTTGCCGTACCGTGGTCGGTTTTCAGAATTCAAGCGAATTGCCGCCCACGTGTTGGGCCGCGCTGTGCCTTGCTTAGTTGCCAGAATCAGAAAGCGATAAAACAGAAATTTGCCGCCCGCGTGCCGTGTCGTTTTCGGTTTTGTTAATTCGAGAAAGTTTCCACCCGCAGGCTGTGCCGTGCCGTTCCACGCCTGGCTTTCAGAGTGCATGAAAGTAGCCGCCCGCGAGCTGTGCCGTGGCGTGCCTGTGTTGCAGAGTGCCGTGTTTTGGCTTGCCGTGCCATACCTGGCTTCAGAATGCACAATGCGTTTCCACACGCGTGCCGTGCCGCGCCGCACTTGCCTTTCAAGTCAGATCTTGCCTGCATGCCGTGCCGTGCTTGCCTGCCGTGACTGCGTGTCGTGCATTGCGTCCGCGTGTCGAGCCGTGCCGTGCCGTTGCCGTTGCCGCGTGCCGCGCCGTGCCGTGTGTCGGAAATGCAAGGAAGTTGATACCCTTGTGCCGTGCCGTGTAGTGTTCGGTTCTTGGAATGCCGAACAGTTGCTGTCCACAAACGGTGACGTGCCCGCGTGCCGTGCCGTGACGCCCGCGTGCCGTGCCGTGCCGCCCGCGTGCCGTGACGTGCCGTGCCGTGCTGAGTCTCTCGAATGGCAGAATTGCCGCCCGCGTGTCGTGGGTTCCAAACGCACGTGCGATAGCCTCTGGCGTGATACGCTTCGCGCCACAGTTGTTTCTTCTGTGTCTCCCGTCTGCCGAGTGAACCGATGGAAGACCACATGCGCTGGATTCGAGGCGTTGCCTGAATGATGGCCCACTGTTGCAGCGCGTGCGTGCGTGCGTGCGTGCGTGCGTGCGTGCGTTCGTGCGTGTGTGTGTGTGTGTGTGTGTGCGTGTGTGCGTGTGTGCGTGTGTGTGTCGTGTGTGTGTGTGTGTGTGTGTGTGTGTGTGTGTGCGTGCGTGTGTGTGTGCGTGTGCGTGTGCGTGTGTGTGCGTGTGCGTGTGCGTGTGCGTGTGCGTGTGCGTGTGCGTGTGCGTGTGCGTGTGCGTGTGCGTGTGCGTGTGCGTGTGCGTGTGCGTGTGGGTGTGTGGGAATGTGTGTGTGTGTGTGCGTTGCCCTTTCCGCCCCCCCCAGCCTTGCCTGGTTTTCACGCCGACCCCTCCTCTGAGGTGGTCTCACGCTGGCCTTCCCCTCCGGGCTGCCTCGCGGGTCACTTGTGACCTCGACTCCCCGGGGCACCTCGCTGCACCTCTTTCGCCTTCAGCTCCTGCTGGGCCTTTTCCCCCCGGGCGCTTGCCTCTGGCGGCCGCCCCGCCCGCCTACCCCCCAGCTGCCGCCTCCCCACCGCTGGCCCCGCCCCCGGCGCCCCCCCGCCGCTGTTTGGCCCCACTCTGAGCGGGCCCTGCTGTCCCCTCCCTCGTGCCCGCGCGGGGCTTCTTCCTCTCTCCCCCGTGCATTGCGGCTTAATTCGCGTTCCGTGCATCCCACCTACGCCCCATCGCCAGCGCAGTAACTCTGTCTAGCCGCCGACGCCAATAAATGTGTGTGCGCGCGCGTTGTTTGACGATTGCATGATGTCGCACTGCCCATCCCATCATCGCTCGCCCCCGCGCGTGGGCTTGCGCGGCAGCGTGAGGGGCCAGACGTGCATTTCGACCCGTCGTTGTTTGCGAAAGAAGGCATGGCCTAACGTACGTGTTATGATCCGATGTGATGTGGTGTGTGTGAGTATGCGCTTGTGTGAGAGAGGGGATCTACATAGAATTCTCTGTTTCTGAAATATTTCTTGTATATGAGACAGGGAGGCAGGGAGGGAGAGAGGGAGAGGGATCAATTCAGAGAGGGGTCCATACATATATACATATGCGTATGTGTATGCAATTGTATGTATATGCTTTTATCCCACACAGTGCGTGCACTTCTCAGTTTACATAAAGAATTGGATGGATAAGCCCGGTTTTCGGCTGGCGTCTAGTCCGCGTCTCGGTTGGCGTCAGGGTCGGAACAGCGTTGGAAGCACCTGATGAACATTCTTGTGATGCCATCCCGCCGCGCGAGGCTGTGGTGGTTGAGCTCCTCCCTCCTCCCCCCTTCTTTTCCTCCTCCTTCCTCTCTGTCCTTCCCCCTCTCCCTCAAAGCAACGTTCCAATGCTGTTCAGTGAGTTCTCATTGTCGCCCGCTGCTCGATGGCACTTGATGGTTCAGCCAAGCTCTGGTGCCGATGCGCTGTCTGGGCGCCTGGCTTCTCTGTCTATCTGTCGGTCCGGTCCGAGAGCGCCCGTGGACGCCCCGCGCAGGGGGTGTTCGCCGAGGCTTCGCCCGATGCCCGCCCGTGGGCGCCTCGAGGGCGCCCGTGGGCTCTCCGCGCTGGGGGGGGTACCCCGAGGTTTCGCCCAGTGTCCGCCCGTGGGCGCCTCGTGGGCGCTCGTGGGTGCCTCCCGCTGGGAGGGAGGATGCCGAGGTTTCGCGCGGTGCCCGCCCGTGGGTGCCACACAGCCTGCACCGCACGGCTCACACCACAGCTTTCCCCGCAGAGCTGTCGTCACACAGCACGCACTACACAGCTTGCGCAACCGAGGTCGGACTACACAGCTCACACCACACGGCCTGCACGACATAGCTTACTCCACGTAGCCTACACCGCATAGCTCACACCACATGTCTCACGCCTCATAGCGGAGACTACATAACCCACACAACATAGCTCAGACCCGATAGTTTACACCGCATAGTTCACGCCGCAGACATGTCACAGCATGCTGTGCACCACATAGCTTGCACCACGCATCTCTCACAACATATGTGACACCATACAGCTCACACAACACAACTTACGCGACATAGCCTACACCTCACAGCTCATTCCGCATTGCGTGCACCGCATTTGGCCAATATTTATGTCTTGTTTGAGGTCTCTGCTGGCTGCTATATTTATACAAGTATCTATAATATTCAGCGGGATGTCGATGGAGAGGCAGAGGGATGTGAGGAGAGAGCGAGAGAGAGCGAGTGAGAGAGAGAGAGAGAGAAAAAAAACACAACAAAGAGAACGGTATTGATATATATATATATATATATATATCAGAGTAAGGGGGCTAAACCGAACTCTCATTCACTGTCCCTGCGTGCGTGGCTGGAGTGGAATTCCGCGAGGCGGATTATCGTCGCTGTTGTTGTTGTTGTTGTTGCTGTTGCTGTTGCTGTTGCTGTTGCTGTTGCTGTTGCTGTTGCTGTTGTTGTTGTTGTTGGTGGTGTTTTTGTTTTTGCTGTTTGCTGTTTGCTGTTTGCTGTTTGTTGTTTGTTGTTTGTTGTTTTCGTCGTCCCACCTGCGACCCGCCCCGCGACCCTCCCGCGACCCACCCCACGACCCACCCGCGACCCACCCGCGACCCACCCCGCGACCCACCCGCGACCCACCCCCGCGACCCACCCCGCGACCCTCCCCGCGACCCACCCGCGACCCACCCGCGACCCACCCCCGCGACCCACCCCCGCGACCCACCCTGCGACCCGCCCGCGACCCACCCCGAGACCACCTTGGCGAACCGCCCGCGACCCACCCGCGACCCGCGACCGCGACCCACCGCGACCCACCCGCGACTCAACCGCGACCCACCCGCGACCCACCCGCGACCCACTCGCGACCCACCCCGCGACCCACCCAAAATTTTTCGGCGCCTGCGGCGGGCTTCTTTTGCATTCGTTCCAGGTGGAGAACCTGCGACCCACCCGCGACCCAAACCGCGTTCAGTGTACAAATCAAAATTTTCGGCGCCTGCGGCGGGCTGTTTTTGAATTCCTCCCAGGTGGAGTTGGAGAGCCCGCGACCCACCCGCGACCCAAACTACGTTCACTGAACAAGCCAGAACTTCGGCGCCTGCGGCGGGTTTCTTTTGCATTCGTTCCAGGTGGAGAACCTGCGACCCAAACCGCGTTCAGTGTACAAATCAAAATTTTCGGCGTCTGCGGCGGGCTGTTTTTGAATTCCTTCCAGGTGGAGGTGGAGAGCCCGCAACCCACCCCCGACCCAAACTACGTTCACTGAACAAGCCAAGAACGGAGGAGGCGGACGACGACGACGACGACGACGACGACGATGAGAACGAGCACGCGGACGAGGAAGAGGAGGAGGAGGAGGAGGAGGAGGAGGAGGAGGAGGAGGAGGAGCACGAGGAGGAGGAGGCGGAGGAAGAGGAGGAGGAGGGCGCCATCGACAGGGAAGGTGAGGGCCACGAGGTCCGCCGGCTCGACGCCCGCGTCGCCCGCGCCCGCCCACTCACTCTTATCTGCAATTGCGGGGTGCTACGTATAGATATATATATATATATAAATACTATATATATGTATATATATATATATATATATATGTATATATATATATATATATTAGGGAGAGGGAAGGAGTGATATGGCAATGGCAATGCAGATGGCGTGTATCTTTCTCCGAATCTGGAGCGTCTGTCGGGCTCCCGCACGCCCACGCCGCGTGCATCCCCAGCCCCTCTTCGTTTCGTTACCTCCACGGCCTTCGCGGCTCTGGTGCTGTTCTTGTCCCTCGCCTGTATCCAGAAGCGAAGCCAACGTGCGTGTACCTCCACGGACGTGAGTTTCGAGAGTGTGCGTTGCGAGAACGTTCGTACCGCGAGGCTGGCCTCGCGGGAACTAGCGTGCCGTACTCATGTACATGGTTGGGCGTGTACTTTTTTTGTGGGCTCCCTGTGCATGGTCCCTGGGTGGGTGGTTGGCATATTTCTCGGCGCGGCTCCCTGAACAGGATTCCACAGTCTGGGCGCTGGCCGCTTCTTGTCTCTTCGCCGCGGCGTTGCTATTGTCCGCCCCTTGCCTTGCTCGCCGTTGACATAGGTGTTATTTGGTCTCTCTCTCTCCCTCCCTCTATTCCTCCCTCTCGCTCTCTATCTCTCTCTCTCTCTTTCTCTCTTCCCTTTGTCTTTGCTACTCTTCGGTGCGTGGATGGCGCCAGTGAAAGGCGCGGCAACAAAGCATCGCTGGCTGCGTCGCTCTGGAGAGGCCTCCAAGACAACGACTGCAGAGGGCGCCCGAAGGCCGCCGATGCGGCAGAGAGCTTGGGGAGGCCACGATAACGGCCCACGGGGCCTCCAAGACAGCCCAAGAGGCCCCGCGTGCAGCTGGCACGAGTGTTAAGAACAACGTAGCCCTGGAAGGGTACGCTTGTGCTTCTTGTGTTTGTGCGTTCCGCCTTGGAATTTCACTCGTTTTGGGCTTTCTTTATGTCCGAGGCGAGGTTTTATCCATAGCCACCGCATGGGGCATCGATCTTCTGGGGTCTCAAAAGGCGGTGGATACAGATATACTCTGGCTCGGGGGGGAGCATCAAATCTATATCCACCACCTGCTAAAGTCCCAGAGGACCGATTGTCGGGCTTCGAAAGTATTCTTGTGCCGCGACATCGGAGTTTCGGCGCTCCAGCGCCCCCGTCGAGCTCGTAGAGGGCCGCCCCCCATGGCGACGTCTTGTCTTGTCCCCGCCTCGTTTCGGGGTACCTACGTGACCTAGTCTCAAAGTTGCAATGCTATCCTGGGTTTGGACTACACACTTTGGGGATAGTTCCTTGAGAGCTGAAGGGTTCTAGGCGGTTCCACCTCCTGGCGTGTACGGTAGGTTCGTGTCGTGTCGACGCGGCGGCGCCTCCAGCGCGGGCGCTAAAGGTTGAACGCCGCCAGCGGCCCAGATCCGGCCAATATGGATTCATGTGGCGATCGAAAAGTTGCCGACAAGGCTGAACCATCCATCGAGGGTGTCAAAGAGGGTGTTGATGACCAGAGGTAGGGGAACTCATGGCGGGTGCCATGATATCTCTCAGATCTCATGACCCCCTTTGATTTTCTCAATGCGTCTCCTGGCCCCTCCCTGGGCCGCGCACTTGCCTCGGTCCATGATTTGTCAACGCCCCTCTTGGACGCCCTCCTCTTGGACGCCTCCGAATCCACGCGGTGTCAGAAACCAATCCCCCCTTGCTCTTCAAGTCCCCCTCCTGCTCCACCGCCTCTCCCAGTCCTCCTCTCCCCCCCTTCCCCCCTTACCCCCTGTCATCTCCTCCTTCGCATCCCCTCTCCTCCTCCCCCTCTCAACCGCCAGCGCTGTCCACTTGCTGCTGCTGCTTCTCTTCTGGGCCTCTGCCTCTGCCTTCGGTTGCGTTTTCCTTCTCCTGTTCATTCACTTCTTCATCCGCATCTTCTTCCTCAGCCTCCTCGTCTTGCTCTCCCTCCTCCCAGGCCGAGCCGCCTGGCAACACGGGGTCTCTTGGTTGCCTTGCGGGCGCGTCTGGGGGGTTCCCGGCTACGGCGACCACCATCGGTGGACACACATTGCGAAGACCAAAGAAATATTGTTAGCACTGGAGCCGAAATGTCTGGCACACGTCAAACGGGAGTATAAGTGACTGCTCACAACCAGTGGGAACAACGAGCAGGCGGGGCTAGTACTTACACTTCACCTACAGCTTTGCCTGAGCCCCCCCTCCCTCCCTCCCCTCTTGTCTTGCTGTCGTTGTGGCCTTCCCTCCCTGATCCTTCGCAGGCTCACAGAAGACTGGTTGAATTTGGCTGCCAGCAGGCGTGATCACGTAGCAGTTCCGCGGCACTCTGGCGCCATAGCCGGGCTCTCGCAGGGCCGTTCCCCGATGGGCGCCTCGCCTCCCCTCCCCCTGCCTCCCAGGAGTACGAGTGGCTGGGCAAGCAGGATACCATTTAGCGCGCGCGCCACCCTGGCTGGCGCAGCGGGCCTCCAACTCCCTCCTTCCCTCCCTCCACAATTACTCAATACGACTACGTGCCGAACGTGTGCAGCCCTCCCTGGTTTTCCCCCCCCCCCCCCCCAGGATTCCAAACGTAACGTTGACTTTACAATTGGGCTTTTCAATCGGCTATGTTCTCGGAGTTTCAAAATTGTACTCCGCCTGCAGCGTGGTCTTCATTTTAGGATCGGCTTTTCGCCCCCATCGTTCATAATTGCTGTGTCTCTCCGCGCGGACCATACATGGACCCGAGTCCTTCTCATCGTTGTCACCCCGCTCTTGTTCACTCCTCAGCCTTTCCCTGGTCATCCTGCCTCTTCCGCGCCTCCCACTCTGCTTCTGCTGCAGTTCCTCCTCGTCCTCCTTCCTCATCCTCCTCTTCCTCCTGGTCATCCTCTGGCTGATCCGCCACCTCCTCCTTCTCCTCCGTCTCCTCCTCCACTGTGCACAGCTACCCTATAGCACACGATGGTGTCCTTTTGGGGTTTCCAGGTCTGTTATGACACACGTCGGTTGATAGAGAACCGCATCAGCGCAGTGGGGAAAGGATTGGTGCGAGGGGTAGGATGTCAGAGATCTTACGAGCGCACCTCGTTTTTCCCCCTCCCCTCTACCACTACACACTTTAATACGAATATCCTCCCTTTCTCTTGACTCCATCCAGCAGATAGTCGGCTTTCTCTGCGTATTATTTTCTACTGTATTTCAACCGTCGTGTTGTCCATGTGTTTTTCTCACACTCTTAATGTCTTCGGTGTTTCAAAGTGGTGCTCCAGCTGTAGCGTCGGCGCTTCGTCCCCGCCGTTAAGAATGGCGCTCTCGCCCCACTGGGGCCTCATGCTTACTGATCCGAGTCCTTCCTCATCGTTGTCGTTTCCTTCCGTTTTCTTCCTCCGCCTTTCCTTGGTCTTCTCGTTCATCCCACTTCTTCCACTCCACTTCCCGCTGCTGCTGTTCGTCCTCATTATCCTCCTCCTCCTCCTCCTCATCCTTCTTTTTTTTTCCTGCTCATCCTCCTGCTCATCCGCCTCCTCCTCCTCCTCCTCCTCCTCCTCCTCCCTCCTCCTCCTCCCCCTACTCGGCTCTCCCGCTTTCGCGTAACAGATCGGGTCTTTCGGGAGCTCCAGGTCCGCTATGACACGCGTCCGCGCAGGTATGACGTCAGATCTACCGCGAGCGCACCTAGCTTGCCCCTCCCCCCTCTCCCTTCTCTCCCCTTCCACTCGCCCTCCTCCCCCTCATCCCTCTCCTCATTCACTTCCTGTCCCGGTCTTCCTTTCTTCTTTCCTCTCTTCCTTCTTCCCCGGGGGGCTCGAGGGGAAGGGAGAAGGAGGAGGAGCATGGAGGACTGAGGAGTGGGAGGAGGAGGATGAAGGATTGAGGACGGGGAGGGAGGATGGGGAGGAGGGAGAGGGAGGAGGAGGAGGAGGAGGCGGAGGAGGAGGAGGAGGAGGGGCGCCAGGCACAATACAGGCCTGGGCGGTTTGAACGTTTTGTCCAATGAAGCAACGAGCGATTTCTTTTTGTAATCCGCCAAGCAAGCAATCGATGTGAATTCGATTCAAAAGGAAACCCTTTTCCATACCACTCAACTGGATCCTGTTGTATTCCACCCCGAATGGAACATTCCTTCGACGGAATTCCTTGCAACGCGTCAATTCCTTCGACGGCGGTGTGCCGAATTCTGAATACAAGCGATTTTTTGCCGCGAAATACACAAGGAATCCAATTGTGGCAAAATGGAACATATTCCTCGTGTTGTGAAATACAAAGAGGAGCCTCATGTGGTGGATTACAAACTGACTTGCTTCGTGGTCGGATACATCAGGAATCCTTCAATCTTTTTTTGTTGGCCGAACAGGGCTTCCATTGTGGCGGAATGCAAAAGGCTTTGTTGTGGCAGAACGCTAAAAGAGTGTTGTTGTAGCGGAATATGAAAGCATTTGTTTGATGGATTTCTAGGGACTCCTCGTTTGGCAGAATGCAAGATGAACGTTTATATGGTTGATTACCACGGGTGTTTTTTGTGGAGAATACAAATGAAATCGTTGTGTGGCCGAATGCAAAACGGTTCTATGCGTGGTGGAATACGACATGATTCGCTTTGTGGCAGAATGCTCAAGGATTCTTTTTTGGTGGCGGAATACTAAAGGATTCCTTGTGTGTGTGTGGTGGATTACTCTGGGATTCGTTTAGTGGTGGAATGAATACAAAACGATTCCTCCTGTGGCACAATAGGTCAGGATCCCTTTTGCCGCGGAGTACCAGTGGAACCCTTTTGTGGCGGAGTGCAGAAGGATTCGTTTTATCGCGGATTGCATAAGAATTATTTCTGAGAGCGAAAAGCCAATCCAAAAACAACACATAACATAGTTATAGGCACACCTCCTTGAGCCATCGCCAACCTTCTGCCGAAATCACCGTTTTCTTTTTGGTCAGCGCTTTTCGCTCACACAGGGAATCCTCCTGTATTCTGCCTTAGAAAGAATCCTGTTGTATTCCGCCGCATTCATTCAGCCACAAAATGTACCCTTTTGTATTCTGCCACGCAGGGGATCCTTTTGTATTCGACCACAGAAGGCATCATTCTGCATTCCACTGCGAAGGGGCTGTTTTTGGAATCCGGCACGCAACTAATCTCTTTGTATTCAGTCGCAGAAGGAATCAGTTAGCACTCCGCAGCAAACGAAATTTGTATATTATAAGAGCATCCCTTTTGTGGTGGGATGCTACAGGGTTCATGTGAGTGGAATGGAAGAAGTTTTCTTCAGCGGATGCCAGAATATGTAGCTTGTGAGGTCTTTTGAACACAAAAACGCTCAAACCGCCCAGGCTTGCATCGTGCCTGGTGCGGGAAGAGGAGGCGGAGGAGGTGGAAGAGGAGGAGGCTGAGGAGGAGGAGGAAGTGGAAGGGGAGGCTGAGGAGGAGGAGGAGGAGGAGAAGGAGTAGGAGGAGGAGGAGGTGTATCAGAAGGAGGAGGGAGGGAACCAGGCTAACTAACGTCTGCGACCGGCCACTCCCTCGTCATGCTCGTCGTCATCCCAATCAGATGCCGCCTTCCCCCGCCCCGCCTTCTCGTTGAAGCCCGCCTGCCCCCAGCCGAAGAAGTGCCACATCTGGGACCGCATCCCGGTCAAGCTGGACTGGAACATGGAGAACTTGTCCAACTTCACTTTGGGGGGGATCACCAAGGCACCCTGGTTGCCCAGCAGCAAGTGGGCTCTTTTGTTCGCCTCCCCCCTCCCATCCTTCCTCATCTCCCCCCTCCCACCTCCTCTCCCTCTTCTCCGCCCTGCCCCCCTCCCTCTTCCCCCTCCCCCTGTCCCACCTCTCCACCCCCTCACCCCCCCTCTCTCTCCCCTCCCGATGCCCGCATCCCCCCCCCTCCTCTCCCTTATTGCACCTGGCTTCGAGGGGCTGCGGTCGCGCTTCCCCGAAAGGGTGAGCTGCAGCTCGAGGCGAACGCCCCCCCGGCCGAGCGCGGGCAGAATTGGGCGCGCACGTGGGCCGACGCGATCACCAAGACGAAGACCCCGACCAAGTGCAAGGTCGTGCCCGGAGTGTCGTCGTCACAGGAGGAGGAGGAGGTGATGGTGGTGGAAGAGGAGGACGAGGTGGAGGAGTTGGAGGAGGAGGAGGAGGAGGACGAGGAGGAGGAGGAGGAGGAGGAGGATGAGGAGGGAAGATCGAATGGAGGATGGGGGAAGGGAAGAGTCGCCCTACTGCCAAGATGAAGACACCGATCAAGCGCGATGTCTTGACTGTTTTTTTGCAGGTGGGACGCCAAACTTCCACCCACACCGATTCGGGCCAGTCCAGCCCCGGGCCCTCCATGCCTATTTTGCCAGGAATGCGGTGTAGGTATGTTTGAGATGGCTAGTTGTTGTCCTCCGTTTTTCCACATCAAGGGGCCCAGGATGTTCAAATCGACGTTGGTCTTCGTCAATGCCCCATATGTTCATGCATGTTGTTCGACATCGAGGAAATCCCTGGGGAGAACGTGCTGTGAAGCAGGGTCCCTTCGTGGGGGCCACAGTCAAGCCCCCCCTCCTTCCCCCTCGCACCTGGGGGCCGAGAGAATGGAGGAATGGGGAGGGAGAGGAGCGAGGGACTTCACGCTGCGCGTCCTGACCAATCGCACGTCGAGGACAGCACTTTAGCCTGGCGAAAGGCCCAACCCAAATTAGCTGCGAGCAAGATCATGATAGGGGCCCGCTGCAGCCAGTGCGCAGCGAGAGGGATGAACCCTGGGGCAGTGCAGGTAGAGGCACGAAACATTTGAATGGGTTGCCGAACTTAGGCGGCCGCCTGCCATTGGAGCCTTCGGTGGAGCGACCAGTGGGGCCACAAAACGAGTGAGGGGTGTGTCGAAATGGAGGCGGCGCCTCCATGCGAGCGTTGCCATTGGCGTCTTCGGTGGAGCTCCGAGTGGGGTCACGAAGCGTGCGAGGAGTGTGCCGAAATCCTTTGCGAAATGGACGGGTGATGCTAATGATGCAGATGGACGGGATCATGATGATGATGATGATGATGATGATGATGATGATGATGATGATGATGATGGTGATGGTGATGGTGATGGTGATGCTGGTGCTGGTGCTGGTGCTGTTGCTGGTGCTGGTGCTGGTGCTGATGCTGATGCTGATGCTGATGCTGCTGATGATGATGATGATGCTGTTGATGATGCTGATGGCGGTGGCGATGGCGATGGCGATGGCGATGGCGATGCTGATGACGATGCTCATGATCATGATGATGATGACCATGATCATGACGATGATGCTGCTGATGCTGATGATGATGCTGATGATGATGATGATGATGATTATGCTGATGCTGCTCAGGATGATGATGCTAATGATGGTGAGGAGGAGGAGGAGGATTGTGTTGCTGATAATGCTGATGCTGCTGCTGCTGATGATGATGACGGTGATGGTGATGGTGATGGTGATGGTGATGGTTCTGCTGGCGAGTATGATGATGATGATGGTGATGATGGTGATGATGATGAGGGGGATGACGGTGATGATAATTATGATTATGATGACGACGATGATGATGATGATGATGATGTTGATGGTGTGGATGCTGCTGATGATGATGCTGATTATGATGATGATGATGATGATGATGATGATGATGACGATGATGAATAATATGAAGATGCTCTTGTTGATAATAATGACGATGATGATGATGATGATGATGATGATGATGATGATGCTGATGATGATGATGATGCTGATGATGATGATGATGATGATGATGATGCTGATGCTGATGATGACGATGATGAAGAGGAGGAGGAGGAGGAGGATAAGGAGGAGGAGGAGGATATCGAGAAGGAGGAGATGGCGAAGGAGGAGAAGCGCGCGCTGCCTCTGAAGGCCTCCGTCCTTTGAGACACTTTCTAATCCTATTCCGAAGCCCCGCTGCCTTCTGAGAAGGCTTGCCCCCTCTCACATCCCCCGTCGGCTCGCCGCTGATCCTCGTGTCGGCTGTCGATTGGCCACCTCAAGGGCCACGGGGTCCAGGAATGCCCCGATATGCGCTGCCCAGACAGACACGGCGATCGTGACGTCCGGACGGGGAGTGGCAGACGTTTTGACATTGCGGGCCTGGCCAAAAGCACATCGATGAGAACAGAAAGGATGGAGGGCTGTGCATCAGTGGGTGCAGCGACCGCCTCCTCTTTAGGGCCCGCTGTCACTTGAACATCCCAAGGGCTACGGGGTCCAGGGGTGCCCAGACATGCGCTACCCAGACAGGCACGGCGGTCGTGGCCTTTCGTCGAACTCTTGACGATGCCGATTCTGTTTTCGGCGGGCTTTGCGAAGATCCGCGCGCCATGGCTCCTTCGGGGGAAGGCAGCGTCTGTTCCTCGACAGCGTAAGTTCCCTCGCTCTCCCCCCTCCTTCCCACCGCGATCCTCCTCGCTTCCGCCATCCCCAGTTCTACGTACAGTTACGCATTATTGACTACTACGCCCCTTCTCGTTTTATATGAATTGCGTGCGCACCAACCAGAAAACTATTTTTTGTTTGTACGCTTTGTTCGATCAGACCGTCTTCGGTCCCGCTGCAGTATCATCAGCAGTTTTTCAATTTGCCATGGCGCTTCCATCCAACACAACAGCACACTCGCCGCAGCGATGGTCGTCATCGTGCTCGTCCTCCGCCCGTCAGTCATCCTGTTGTTCGTCTTCCGTCGTCCTCCTGCTCGTTCTCTTTCATTCCGCTCCTGACTATGTTCCATGGTTGCAGTCGTTATGATTGTCCCTTCGTCTTTGTCGTCTTCCGGATGGTTGACTGTCTCTGATACCACCCACGACTTCTGCAGGGGGATATCACTTACCAGTGAGGCGTGAGCACGGATCTCACTTGTTATCAAAAGTTGTCCGCCGTTAGGTTTTGTTGGGTTTCTGTTGTAAGGCGGGCGCCGAATTTCTGCGCGAGTGTTGTTTGTGGTGCTATGATGTGATCTGCACGGTTGAGCAGTGTTGATGTTGTTGTGTGCAGTGATAAGTTGTGTGTTGTACTTTGCGATGGCATGGTATGTTTTGCGCTTCTGCCCAATGTTTTGTTATGGAATACCTTTGTGTGCTATGCAGTTCTACGTTCTGAAACATCATGCTGTTGATGTGTTATGCTGTACGTTGCTACGCTTCTCCCCGCTTAGGCATTGCCTAAGGGGTTCTTATTTGCTTGTGGCAGATGTGGTGGGTTTGGGTCGTTAGTGAGAGGTGTATCCAGCAGGGGCCCAGCTTTGCCCTGATTGGCTGGATTGCCCCGGTTGCCCGGTGATGCAATGCAGCGCAATGCCAATCCACAGCAAGCATTGCCAATGCCAATCAATGCGAGCCGATTTCAAGCAACGGAAAGCAATGCTAAGCAATGGAAAGCAACGCGAAGCGATGTCAAGCATTGCCAGGCAATCCTTCGTAATGCTTGATCGTGGTAGAAGTAGTACTAGTGTTGCACGGCTGTTGCAGCTGTTGTGTAGGCTTCGAGTGACGAGTGATTCGCTCGAGTATGATTGCCCTGGCCATTTCAAAAAGTCACACGCTACGGTCAAATCTCCTAGCCTGAGCCAACAATCAATTTACACGGTCGGGCCTGATTGCCAAGCCTCAGCCGACAAATGATACGCTCGATGTTGCTTGTCAGGAGCAAGCTGAGAAGTCACGCTTTGCTCTCCTCAATGTGGCTTTGCCTAATGGGTTTTCCATGTGTGATGTGGTTTATCCAGTGGATTCGGGTCGTGAGTGAGAGGCGCTCCTCCAGGTTGCCCTGTTGCCCGGATTGCCCAGGTTGCCCGGTTGCGCGATGCAGAGCTATACAAAGCCTGGTTGTCCGAGATGCCCGGGTTGCCTGGGTTGCCTTGATGGGCAATGCAATGCAATGTTAACCAATGTCAGCAAATGCCAATCGATGCCAAGCAATGCCAAGCAATGCCACACATGCGCCCATGCAATCTATAGTTTTCCCGTCATCGGGGTTGCGCTGGGTTCATGCTATGACGTGCCACCTGATGATATGTTTTGCTAATGCATGTTACGCAGCGCGGTTGTGCCATGACTGGTGAGGCACTGCAGCCGATACGTTGAAAGAGGGCCTCTTTGGGCTAAGGAAGGGTTATGTTTTTCGGGCCGTTATGTAGATGTAGGTCGGGAAACCTATTCGGGGTCGTAGGTCGCCGTGACCAGACAAGTCCCTTCTTTTCTTATTCAACCTTCCCTCTACATGGAGCATGTATGTTTTTCCTTGAGTGGCGCTCTGTTGTGTTGCGCCAAACTGTATACATTAGTCATACAGCACACCTCTCCTTGATGTCTCCCCGAATTGCATGCGAAGGATGTCAGCGGGCGCCGGCGCCAGTCAGCTAGCACTGCGCTCAGTGGGGATTTGTTCCCTTTCCTCCCATCCTGTCCTTGCTCGTCGTTTGTCTCCTCCTGCCCCCTCCCTCAGTCATCGAGCTCATCCCCGCGCTTTTTCCCCGCACCCCCCTTCCCATTTGTATCATGTGCCTCCCCCTTCTCGACTTTATGTTGCTTCGTCGTCCTCCTCAGTCCGACGGCCTCCCCCTTTTCTCCTCCCCTTCCGCCTCCTTCATGCCCTTCGGAGTTCTTGATGTCTGAGGTTTTCTTCGAGTTGCCTTTTCGGGATCCATGTTTTCTTCGACCATCGACTCTGCGAATAGAGGGGGAGTAAAGTAATGGTAAGGGATGGGAGGGAGGGGCACGATGTCGAATGTGACGCGAGAAGGCATATCTTGCCTTCCTCCTCTTCCGCCATTCTCACTTATTTCCAATTCCCGTTACCCCTGGCTTTGCCGTTGTCCCATTACCCTCGCCTTCCACGCTGTCTACAATTTGTCTCGTCGTTTTCCATCCTTTGGTGCTCTGCCCCATAACTTCCGACATTTTCAAGCATTTCAGATTGTCGAGCTCGACGGATACTGGCAGAGCGCGGAGTATTTCGTCCATAATTTGGACATGATTCGGCAGCTCATGTGGAATGAGGATACGGCGGTCCAGGCCGAGGGTGTGAGGGTTGCTAGATGCGGAGCAACATGTTAGATTGTAGTGAGGTCGAGGCCAGGAGTAGGTACAGTTAAGTATCGGATGCGTGATTCAGCACAGGAGGGCCAGTCGTCGGACGAGCATGATTATCAGGTTGAGCATCACCATGACGATGACGATGACGATGATGAGGAAGAGGCGGAGGGAACCATGAGGAGACGGACGCCCACGTTTGGGCTCGACAACGGAGGATGGCCTCGAGTAAACGTTTAAGCTTCAGTGTATCTCAATGGAAAGTTTGAACATACTCGTCAGCCGTCGACAGGACATGAGTTATTAGGCGCCAGGGAGGGCAGCTCAGACGGCTGGGTCTATGAATACGATTCGTTGTGCAATTGATGATCGCTTCGGTGGAGTCGGTCAGCGCTTGAGCATTGTCGAGTGTGCAAATGCAGCTGACACGAGGAAAAAGAGCATCCGTAGCTTTATTCATGCTTGGGCTCTCCGCCTTGGAGTCGGAGGTTGGGGGGTGAGATCGCAGTGGAACGGAGACCCCCAGAGGGAAATCGTTTCGTTCGTCTCGTGCGTGCGGGCGAGGCGAAGCTGCATGGGCGCGCGAGAGGAATGAACCCGCCGTTGCTACGGCGAAATCAAGACAAATGATTCTCCCCCTCCCGCCCGTCCGGCGGTGGCCCGCGGTGTCCCGCGGTTTCCCGTGGTGTCCCGTGGTGTCCCGTGGTGTCCGCCGTTGCTAGGGCGAAGTCAAGACAATTGATTCTCCTCCTCCCGCCCGTCCGGCGGTGGCCCGCGGTGTCCCGCGGTGTCCCGCGGTGTCCTGTGGTGTCCCGTGGTGTCCGCCGTTGCTAGGGCGAATCAAGTTAAATGATTCTCCCCCTCCCGCCCGTCCGGCGGTGGCTCGCGGTGTCCCGCGTTGTGCCGTGGTGTCGCGTGGTGTCCCGTGGTGCCCGCCGTTGCTAGGGCGAAAGCAAGACATATGATTCTCCCCCTCCTGCCCGTTCGTCCGTCCGTCCGGCGGTGGCTCGCGGTGTCCCGCGGTGTCCCGTGGTGTCCCAAAAAGTGAGATCGATAGTGAGATCGATACTGAGATCGATGTGGTGCCCCGAGGTGTCCCGTGGTGTCCCGTTGAGTGAGATTGATAGTGAGATCGATCGTGAGATCGATAGTGAGATCGGTGTCCCGAGGTGTCCCGTGGTGTCCCGTGGTGTCCTATGGTGTCCCGTTGAGTGAGATCGATAGTGAGATCGATAGTGAGACCGAGAGTGAGATCGAGAGGTGTCCCGCGGTGTCCCGTGGTGTTCCGTTGTGGCCCGTGGTGTCCCCTTGAGTGAGATCGGTAGTGAGATCGACAAGTGTCCCGTGGTTTCCCGTGGTGTCCCGTTGAGTGAGATCGATAGTGAGATCGATTGAGTCAGATGTTGTTTCCCCCCCTCCCCTGCTCACAACCTCCTTATCACCCGAAGGGTGGTCGTATAGGTATTATTCGCGTGAGGTATCTATTTGGGTCCTATGGTTGTCGGTGAAGGTGATGATGTTCTTGACCCGCGTTTTTGTGGCTTTGCTTCGATTGTTGCTATGAGCCGACGTGGCGCTTTACCTGAGCAGGGGAGGATAGCCCCATCGTAGGCGACTTGGCAACCTTCATGTGTCGACATCGGAGGGTTTTCAGCTGCGAGCAGCGACGTTCCAATGGACCGACCGACCCACTGTGAGCACCCTGATGCAGACGCCCGAATGCGTCGTCCCAGGGGCTTTCAGGCACACGTGTGCGGGTTCCGTTTCCAGGGTTTCAACGAAGTCACCATTTGGGCACACATGCAGTTCGGTTTTCCAGCAAATGACAGTTCGCTTCGACAGGGATGGAATGTATCTCGCCAATGCCACCCAGAGGACACCACTTCAATGAACCGCTCGGCCGATAGTGGAATTTCGGGTTTCTAAAAAGTCACGAGTCATAGGATCTTGCCTTTTTCTGGAGAATGGAGCTCGATCCATCTGCGGAGTGCAGAACGTGCACCCGCATTGCTCGCCAGAGGCAGCAGTCCGGACCTCCTCGACATCCTCTTCGACCCCATCGACTCACCATCATCCTCATCCTAATCCTGTTTCTCCTTGACCTCCACCTCCTGCTCCTCGTTCTTCTCATGTTTCCCTTCTTCGACCTGATGCCTGACGCGGAGGGCCGTTGCCAGTGCCTCCAGAGATCCGCGCTCCTCGATTTCCTCCTCGACCTTCCTCCTCCGCATCTTTTGCCTCCTCCTCCTGACGCCTGACGCTAATGGCCGCTGGCGGTGCCTCTGGAGCTCCGCCCTCCTCGGCCTTTTGTTCCCGTGGCTCGCTCTTCACTCCCAAGAAATATGACCGAAGGGCCCATTGAGGGAAAGGGGGGATCAAGTCAACCTGTGCCACCACTCCGCCTCCACAGGAGGCGCGAGTGTCACGGACCAGGAAAAGCAAACCATAAGTTCCCTCGGCCAAGGCGTTTTCCTCCTCCGCCTCCTGCTCAATTCCTTTCAACTCCTCCTCCTCCCGCCTCCTCCTCCTCCTCCTCCTCCTCCTCCTCCTCCTCCTCCTCAGGTCTCAGGATGGTGGGTGGAGACTCGTGGAAAGGGTAAGGTTGTAGAGACGGTCCGAGCGGGATCCCCACCCTCGAAGAAGACGTGAGGCCTCCTCGTTTACGTCCTCCGCCTCCTCCTCCTTCCCCAGCATGCATCTACTGGTTCGGCGCACAGCAGTATAGCCTTCGCTGTCCTCCTCCTTTACTTATCCCTCCTCTTTCCTCCTCCGTCCCCCTTCGTTCACTCCAGCGTTCATCCGTGGAGGTGTTTGGTTCAACATAATTGAAACGCGTGGGTTGCACACGGATGTTTCTATGCCGAGGCAGTCTCTCAATTTTCGCGTTCTGGTCCGCACCGCGTATGGATCCCCCCGCCAGCGCGGAGGAACGTTTTGCCCGAGCACGCAGCAACAGGAAACCAACTCTCTTTGGGATGCAACGGCCGAGCGCACGACGGGCGAGGAACCAACAGTCCGAGGACGGCCAATATGGAGACGGAGTATTTCAAGTACATCTCTTGCAGCTACCCGTGGACGCTTTCCTCCACAGGTGAGTGCAAGCGCTGTGGGCGCACCCTGGGGCACAAACGCTGGGGACCCTGGCAGGGCGACGGGGGTGCACTGGGAACGACGTGGCGGCAGCAGTCGCCCCGCGTGCGCCAGCCCCAAAGCGGCAGCGGGGCACGGGAACGCAGCGTCAGCTTGGCCCTGTCTGACGGACCCGTGATGCGCCCCGGGCGTTCAGCTCGTGGGTATCAGCGGCATGTTCGCGCGCGCGTGTGTGTGAGCGTGTGCGTGTGTGAGCGTGTGTGTGTGTGTATGTGTATGTGTGTGTGTTTTGTATGTGTATGTATATGTGTTGGTGTGTGTCTGTGTGTGTGTGTTTCAGGACGGTTGAAACAGCTAGCAGCTCGACACTTCCGAAGGTGGCCGAAGCGGAGACATGGCTGGCCAACGCCAGCGCTTTTCTGCGACAAGGCAACGTGCGAGGTCGAGGCAGCCAGGTCCAATTTTCCCGAGGCAATGGAGCCCGCGCGGTCCAAGGCGGCCACGACGACGAGGACAAAGACAAAGACAGGGACAAGGACAAAGACGAGGACAGAAACCAGGACAAGGTCAAGGTCAAGGACAAGGAGAAGGGCAAGGACAAGGACAAGGAAAACGGGACCTTCATTCCGAAACTCCCAGCCCGGCGTCGGGATTGACATTTGCAGATTGTGCAAGGGCGAGGCGCCCGATTTTTTCGACGGGGACATGCTTGAAAGAGACGACCCCGAGGTCGACGACAGCGAGCTCTAGGCATGCCAGAAGCCCAATACCTAGGTACAGAACGAGCCTACCTCCGCAGTGCAGGCCGTCGCCGACACCAACATGGGCGAAGACAGGAGGGCCTTCAAGGCCAGACCAGCGGCGAAAGCTGCCTCCTCGGGTTTTTGCAATGGGCAGGGGAAGTCTACTGGGCCTGATGATGCCACAGCTGATGGCGCCAAGCCCGCGGGCGCATTCCCGGCGTCGAGGAACTGCCAGGCGCGGCGGCCGCCAAGGAACGCACCCGACAGAAAGCCATCGGCAGGGCATTGCGAGCCACGGCCGTGGCAGCCCAAGCCGCCTCCGCCAAGGATGCCGCGTCTTGTGGGCAGCCGGGCTCCTGCGCGCCACCACCATCCAGGATTGCGGCCGCTTCAAGCGGGGTGGGCATTTCCAACCGCGGTGACGCTGCGAGCGCGAGCCCAGGCACCGCGGTGGCTGACGTCGCATGGTGCAGCAGCGGCAGCCGATGGTAAGGCACTTGCATTGCCTGGCCAACGCTTCGGCCCTGGGTGGGTCCAAAGCCGAGAACCTCCAGCGGCGCTGGCGGGGATCGCTGGAGGGGCACCCGCGCGCTCGCCCGACGTCGATGGCAACGGGGGGCCCGGTGACCTCGAGAAGGCTGCTGGCCCGGGTAAACCCTGAGAATGCCGAGACGCCGCGCTGGCGAGACCCATTGCCGGCGCAGCCTGCCGCGCGGGGCCCTGCGGGGTGGAGCCGCTGAAAGCAAGTCCGAGCTCGCGTTTGGTGGCACCCTGTGGGGCGGGCATTTACATGCCGGTTTCCGTGCTGCAGCGCCTCAGCGGGAGGGGCATGTCCAACGGCTCGGTCGCGGGCCCCGGGGCCAGCAGTCCGGCGCGTCAGCCGCGGCAGGCTGGAGAGCCGCGAGTCCCTGAACGACGCGAGGCTCTGGGAAGAAGGACAGGCCCGCGGGGGTCCCATTCCTCCCGCAGGAGGGCAACCAGATCACCCATGACGTGGACCAGGAGATGGCTCGTCAAGCCCAGGGCCCCCGCGTCCAACCGAGCGGGCTGAGACGGCGTCGACTGGGGGGGGGGGTGCGCGCCCCGCGCGCGCTACATCGCCCGCGTGGGAATCTTCGACGCCTGCTTCGAGTCGTGCGCGGACCTGGA